TTCATCTATCGTTAGCCTATGCCCAGTGGTAGTGTCTATGATGCCTCCTGTCTGAAGCTGCCTTATGAGAATAGCACATGCCATATCTTGATCAATCAAATTATATCTTACTGCTTCTTCTACAGTAAGTCTGTGTCCTGTTCTTGGGTCCACTATGCCACCAGCAAAAAGCTGAGCTTCCAGCAGCCTGACAGTGACTTGCCTATCTATCAGCCCTTCCTGAACTGCACGGAAAATGCTAACCTTTCGGCCTGATTTCAGGCTCAACATTCCCCCTGCCAATTGCTTGACAGGCAACAATTTCAATCCTGATTCCTGGTGAATAATACATCTCTGCATCAGGTCCAGCAAACTCATTTTCTCAGCTGTGTTGGGGTCTATCAGATTCTTAGATGACCTTAAGTAAGATTGCAACATGGAATGAAGCTGTGGAGATATGAGACCTTTATGTAAAGCCTCATCTAGGGTAACACAGTTCTCACTGGGGGAGAGAATGAAGCCTCCAGTTGCCAGATGAGTTCCTAAGATTTTCAGTCCGGTTCTTTCACTGATGGTTCTATTTTCAATTGCTTCCACCACAGAAAGAGAGTCTTTGCCCCCAGTGAACCTGCTTATTAAGGATAAGGCATCCTGTAGTTCCTGGAGCAGCTGATACATCTGGGGACTAATGAGGTCTCGGGAGAGGCCCTCCTCCAAAGAGAGCTTTTCACTGGTCTCAGGAGCAATGAGGCCAGACATGATAACCTGGGATTCTAGGAGCACAAGGCCTGTGTCTTGGTCAATGAGGCCCTTTTGCATGGCTCTGAAGATGGGAAATATCTCCACTGTGCCTAGGTCAATCACCCCAGCAACTGCTCTGTAACCCTAAAAAAAAAAAAGAAAAGAAAATGGTATCAGAGTCAATGAAGAGAAAGAGAATTACTAATGGAGACATTCAAAGAACTAGCACATGATTTCTGACCACCAGAAAATTCTAGTTCGGATAGAATAAAGCCTAATGTAGGAAAGAGCCTAAAGTCTGGCAGTATTAATGCTAAAAAAAAAAAAACAAAAAACTTTTCTAAACTACCGAAAGCTCAGCAGAATGGTAACCTCACAGATTACTTGAAAGATGGTAGCATTAAGCATTTCTGCATAGTAAGTTATTAAGGTGGCAAGCAGTGGAATGTGAGAAAACGGCAAGTTCTAAGATGAAATCAATACAAAGGTTCTTATGAACACATACCAGTTCCCCAAAAAGTGAGAATCCAACCCTATCTAACAACTTCTCAGTGTTGCAACCCATGCAGAAGACTCCTGAAGTAGCACATTATTGTTGATGAGTGCATCAGTATTGGTCCATAGAATTAGAATAGAGATTTAAGCAGTCTGATAGCCACAGAGCACTAATCCATGCCAGTAAAATGGCTTATGAGTACCACTCAGGCAATTATTTAGCAATGGGGACAATCATACTCTAGGTGGTCAAAGCTAGCTTTTTTCAGGGCAATAGCTCTGAATTAAGTTATTTCTAGGGAACAGAATGGGGGGAAAGGAGCAAATAGACCAGGAACTCTTGATTCTGGAACTATGGTACAAGAATCTTTTCCTATAGTCCATGCTAGAATGAATAATATAACAACTGTGATTAGAGCTACCACTTACTGATCATTTGATATATTTACTGATTCTGAGAACAATCTTATGAAAGTAATTATTTTCATCATTAATTTGAAAATAAGAAAATAAAATAGAAGTTGAGTAATTTGATCAAGTTCAAAAAATGAAAGTTTTTGCTCTCAGCCTCTCTCTCTGGTCAGATCCAGAAGGAGGCTTAGAGAAAGGACAAGTACAGTGCATTACATTTTACATAAAGGTTAGGTCCAAAAGTCAGTCATTGTGCTAAACCTTGTATATTGTCTCCCATAGCTCTGAAAAAAATGAACATTTTTAAAGCTTTTTTCCATAGAATAATAGTACTCAGAAAGAAAACAAGTCAAATGTTGAGAGATTTAAAATACTTTATCAGTTTTATTAATCTCTGATTTCCATCTATTTCTGTTTATAGCCATTACCTTCATGTTGTACATAAAGGTAGAGAATCATATCTACCTTTTCTTTGCCCAGTGTTAACTTTTTGATCCTTATTTAATCAGGAAAGGTCTTGTTAAAGAAATTGGCAGTCACTTTCTTGTCTCTTAAAGAATGCATTTCAAGAGGGTCAACAATATGTTCAAACATGATAATGACTGTAATGATGGCTCATGACCAGGCAGTGTTTTGTTCTGTTTTACATAGACTTGCTAAGAGTTAAAACTCACTCAAAGGCTAATAACAACAACAACAAGACCTTATCACCCTGGGCACTCCCTTAACACGGTCATCAACATTAGAAGAGACCAGTGAAAATGTTTATATACTTCATGTAACTGACAGTGGGCATTTTATGAATCTCTCAATAGGATGGAAAGAGCAATATGAGGAGCAGTGAAAAGGGGAAAAAAGGTGTACAGCTAAGTAGCCTTAAATCACAAGGAATTCACAGCTATACTTGTCCAATAAATGGTGTTATCAAGGGCAGAAATGAACAAGAACCAAGAAAGAGCAAGTTGTACAGAAGCCTTGAAAATTTAGCTCAGAGTCTTTAAGTCCCTCCAAAAACTGGGGAAATTAATGGTAACATACTGAGTTTTTCATAAAGCAAAACATATTTCATATAAAGGATTGTTCTTTATTCTAAAATAATTTCCCCAATACCTTTTTAGTATTAAAATGATGGCAGTAATCATTGGTAATTCTTAAAAATATTCTTATTTGACAAATATAGTGTTGAAAATATAATAATAATGAATTTCATTTCTAACACAGTAAGAATATAAGCTCTGTATGAGCAAACACTTTGCCCACTCAGTGTCTAGGAACAGTGCTTGAAGGTAATACATATTTTAAGGCTAAATAGAGACTCAGCCCTTAAAATAATTTATTCTATTTCCCCTTACATTTTTAAAACATGTCCTAAGCATTTCAAGCTTGAATGAGAGACGTTGAATGAATAACCAATGTGGATGCAGGAGATCTGACTCACATGCCCGTTTCACAATTTGGGTCTATTAATGGAATAACTGGCAGAATTTTCCACACTACTTAAAATGGTATCTCCCTGTTTCCTGGTTCCAGAATGCGGAGTTCAATTTGTATACATGGAACCTGAAAGTTATAGAAGTCTACTATGCACCTATTTTATAGAGAATGTAGAGTAAAGTGTCCTAGTATATTTTGGTAAACAGAAAAAGATTTTTTTTATAAAAATCCATCAACTTTATGAGCTTTGTATGTAAACCAGTAAAAATTAAATGTAACTCCCCTCCAAAAATATTTATGTAAAGACCATTTAGAAGGAGATAATATGATAAAAGATTCCTTTAAAATGTTTTCATTTCTTCAGTGAGATCTATGAAATCTCTGAAATGCCAACATATGGGAAAGGCCTAGAATACAGCTAATAGTTTTATAAATAGCTTTCTTCTCAGTATCCAGTCACTGGAGGGTAGATAAGAGCACTAGACTAGAGAGTTGTCCAGAGAAATCCATTTCAAGACTGTCAAACATGGACATTCTAAACTAAACAAGCACGGAAAGACAAAGGAAGAGGAGGAAAGAAAACATAAAAGGCTTCTACTTACCAGAGTTGCAGCGTGCGCCTTGGGCAGATAAGAGAGAGAGCCTTATGGAGCAGCTCAGCCGTATCACACACACAGTGTAAGCTTGGTGTTAGCGTCCAGCATGCGACTGTATTTGTTTTTTGGTTTTTTTTGCAAAAAAGAACCCCAAACAGGTCGTCCTCTTTTCCCTTTGTGCATTTGTGCTTAAACTCCAAAGGGTTAGTGAAACTTGTAAGCAAGGATGTCAGTTAATCAGAACAATACTTCACATGAAACACACAAACGGTACAAGGGGCACATCATGCTCAATGTAGTGGTGCTCAGAAGCTTGTCTGTCTTACGTTTTTCCTCCCCCACTTTTTAACCTTTCATAAGAACTAGATATTCTCAGCAAGCAATTGTTAAAACTTTTCATATACTCCCTTATATGGTGAAGCAACAAGCCATTATGAAATGAGCTACTGTACACAGAGAATGCTTAACCAGCACATTAATTTTGAAAATGTACAATCAAGCTACAGCTGGTTGCTTCGTCTATGGCCTTTCAACTCTAGCTCCTCTTGCAAAAATACCATATCCAAGGAACAGAGTCAAGGCATACTTTGCCCAAAAATAATTTCAGTATCATCTGGACCAAATTTGATTAACACATTAGCTTACATTTTCATCTGTCCCAAACAAAATGGCCATTGCTTCACAACATAGGAAATAAGCAGGCAAACAACATATATATCCCAGAGACACATGTATATAATATGGTGAGTCTACGAATACACACACAAGTATCCAGGAAGAACTCAGGACAACGAGCATGAACTTCCACAACTTCTCATATGGTCTAGATAATGAACATGGAATGGAAACTGGGAAAGATGCCACATGATGAGTGGTGGGGAACCAGCGTCTTAGTCAGTGCAGCTAACCTACCAGATTGCTTTAGGAGAGATTATTTCACATTTATTTGCTCAGCTATGATCTAACGTAAAGAAGGAAGAGATTCATGTTTTTTCTTTTTTCCCAGTACACAGACTTCTGTGTGACAATATGGTCAAGGAGTAATCTGAGCGTCCTGGGACTAGGCATACCACAGATCTTGCCATTCATGTTAGCCATGAAATGGCAGACAATGAAAAAGTTGAACCCGTTCTCAAGAATTAGCATTAAGTACCTTTAGGGTTTTGACTGACCAAGACATCATGGAACCCCACAAACACAAGACGAATGGCTGCTAATGTGCGGTTAAAAACTAAGTCACGTTGGTCATGGAAAGCTAGTGACTATGACTCTCAGTAGGCACAGGTGTTGTCTCCCATTCAAAAAGTATCCTTCCCAGCATTTGGAGAGAAAAACTAAAGGTACCTTTTGTTCTGTTTGTTGAGCCAACTGGCTCTGAAGCTGCTGAATCTGGTTTGATGAACCATCACAAAGGTCACGGTAAGTCTTATTCAGGGCATTCAACTGTTCAGATATCTGGTCCTTGTCTTTTTCTGAGAGCCTACAAGACAAAACAGTAATGCTTTTTTAGAGAAATACTATTCTCTTAAGATTTCACTACTGCCTCCAATTCTACTTCTCTCTCTTGCATGGTATCTCTACTTTATCACTGTTACCTATGGATCATCTCGTCAGTTTTTCCTTGATCAGTGAAGATAATAGGATCTGGTTGATAGTTTTTCTCTCTATCTCAAATTGAGTTATGATCCTTGATGACTGTAAAGCTTATCTCCCTAATAATCTAATACATACACTTGTGTTTCTGAGACATCTCAGGCCAAATGACCATCCTTCCATGATCCTTTCTGTCATTTCTGTGTCACTGAGTTGGAACCCACCTAGTTGATCTGGGTTTCCAAGGTTGTAAACTGCATAGATGGAGACTGTCCCTCATTGTTCAGAGGGGCAACAGTGGATTCATATGCTAGAGGCGTAGCCTTTGGGTTAGCAGTGCAGTTTCCCTATGAACTACACCATCCGAGCTCCTGCCATTCTACTTGAGTCTTACTTACACATGGCTCACTTTCACCTGTCATCATTTAAAACTTTGAAAATCCACTAGGTAACTCAGATTACAACCCTCTCCTCCAATCTTACCTTTCTTCACTTCTTTTATGTCAATTCTTTTTTTTTATTATTGAGATTTTATTGTTAAGTTTATGAAGAACTTGGATTTCCATTCATTCACTGTTGCAATTCTTTTTTTTTTAGGGTTTCCTTAAGTTTTTTAATTGGTTTTCATTCAATCATTTATATACATTTTGTTTTCTAACATTAATTAAAATTGGTCAATGATATTTATCACATCACATCTCATCTAATCCTCACTGTGCTTTGCCTTTACGTTCACCCACCGATCCATCTACTAATCTCTATCAACCCAGCTTTTTTTTCTCTCCACACCCTCTTTTTCCTTCTTCCCTTGCCCCTCTCCATTTGATCAGTTAGATATCAATTCTCTTTTTAAAATAAAGTATTTAAACAAGCAAATGAGAATATTAACAAACTCCACTGTTAACCTATCCAGACTAGCCTAATTTTAAAATTTTGTTTTATTTGTTACAAAGCTTCTAACTGGAAAAATTGAAGATTAATAAAGTCCACTGAATTACCAATCTCATTCCTGTTTCTTTCTGCCCACAAGTAATCACCATCACAAATCCAGTAAATCCTTGCAACTTAATTTTACTTTCTACAATGTGTTTTTTTTAAATTAACCATGTTGATTCATATTACAACTATCCTGCAACCTCAATGACATTTATCAATCTTCTTGACCTCTCTGCTTTCTCTTATTAATCTATCAGTATTGGTATCTTTAGATTCCACAGGCCATCTTCTCAATTACCCTCTTCCTATTTATTATCCCTACACAGTCCTCTGAACACTGGGCATCTCTGGTCCCACAAGCTGGCTGTTATGTACTTCCAGCTGGGGCTTGGGGAAGGTGGGGTAAGATCCCACCACCTTATAGAGAGACCTTTCTGATTTCCAATCTTATTTCCTCTTTAAGCCTCTCTCTGACTAGTTCTCTTCCTTTCTCCTTAACAAAACTCAAACTTTCAGCAAACAATCTAGAAAGAAAAAAAATATAGCTATTTGGCTCTAATTATCTCACTTTCTGAAGTCATGCCTAGTAAATTCACCTTTACCCACATCCTTCCTAATATTCCTTCTCTCCTAACCTTGAGCAAAAGCTATCTCATTGCTGTTAAAATGGCTCAATGGGAGAAAAATGGGCAATCCTCTCTGATGCAATCTACAGTCTCCTGAAAATCTGCTGGAGTATCATAAACTAGTCAGTTCTGACTCAAAGGTAGTGAGTTTGAGTTCTGAGTTTCATGCTCTCTTAAGGCCTCTCTCCTATTATCTTCCTCCCTTCCCATTCCTGGCAACCACCAAAAATGATTCTATCTGTATGTAAACCTCTCCTTAGCTTTTTACAATAGTCGTCTACAATATTTGTCCTTTTATGATATTTCATTCAATATAATGTATTCATGATTTATTCCTGTTATGCAGTGTTTGATGAATTCTCTCTTGTTTTTTAGTGTTACCTAGTACTCCACTGTGTGGATATACTATGGTTTCTTTATCCATTCATCCAGAAAACATGAAGTGGTTCATAAACTACTGTGCTGCCCTTGTGCATTACTCATACTAATCTTCTCTGTATTGTTCCAACTTCATTATATATGCTGCCAAAGTGAGCACTAAGCTAACTTTTAAAAAATGATATTAATTACCACTGTGAATGTAATTACTTATAACGTTTAAATCTGAAGGTCAAATGGATAAGAGATTGTGCTACCAAACCAAAGGCAAGTGGCTTGATTCACCAGCTGCTTTGCAAGAGAAAGATTATTAATATCCTCCTTTGTGATCTCCTGTTCTCCTCTGAGAACCTGCTGAAGGGTCAGCTATGAGTTGATTCTGACTTGATGGCAGATAACAGTAACAAGCAAACCATTATTGTGTGCTGTCTAGTTCATACTGAGTACAGTAAACTACCCATCATTCCTGCTGTGCTGATGGCTCAAATCTTCTTCAGGTTAGAGTTCTCCCGTTAATTCTAAACTTGAACATACAGCTATCTACCATTTCACCCGTAGTAAAACTATGCAAGGCATAAATTAATGTACTGCTATTTCCTAACAGTACTCACTGCTGTCTAGACAAGTTATCCTGACTCATAGCAACCCCCCATCAGGTTTCTAAGGCTACAAATTATAATATTAGGAGGCTGCCCAGCTTTCTCCCAGGGAGCTGCTGGTGGATTTGAACTGCTGGATATGCACAGCCTTTGGGCTAGCAGTGCAACTAACTATTGATTATGCCACGAGAACTCCCCTACTTCCTAATGCATACTAGGTATTTCCAGTTTGACGTCTTACAAATTCTTCAAACTTATAAAGTCTAAAATTAAAGTTACTGCCCTCTGCTTCAACTCATTCCTTCAATTTGTTAGGAATATAATCATACACCCAATAACAGTCTAAGTCCGAAACCTCAGCATCACAGCTGATGATTTTTATCACGAAAGCTGAACAATTAATAGTTATAGCATATTTGTTTTTCTCTTTCAATCCTTGTCATTCCTTGCCTACATATGTAAATGGCCTTTTAACTATTTTCTTAGTTTCTATTATTGCTTCATTTCTATTTGTATTCCACAATGCTATTGTAACAAGCTTTATAGAGAAAAACACTCTTACTTGAAATTTATCCCCATATAAAGGTAAAAGGAAAACACTTTTACATGAAATTCAACTCTCTTCATGATCTAGTTCTCACCACTCTAAACTCTTCAACCAAAAGTTTCATCATGACACTAATTTTCAGCCAGGTAGACCACTTCCCTCATATGACCAGGTCTCATAATCTCGCATCTGATACTCACTTATGACCATGCTTGGCCAAGAAGATCTGGGACGTTTTGATGGCCTCAGAGATCTGTTCTTTCTTAGTTGTCAGTTCCTCTGACAGTGTCTATGAGTAAAAATAAAGAGAAAAGGTTTAGTACCTAAGAAATTAAAGAACTCAAAGTTAGCAGAGATAATTTTTAAAATCCTGGGGAAAAAAAATCCACTTAGGTCAGATGACCATCATTGGCTATATGAACAACAGAGAGCCCTCTCTGGCAGTGTAGTCTGTAGCCCAAAGGTGGCACCCCATTGGTGGTTCAAATCCATAAGGGGCTCTGGAGGGAGAAAGATGTGCAATTTCTTCCTGTGCAGTTTCCAGGATTCAGAAACCCACTGAAGGTTCAGCTATGAATCAGTTCAGATTCATTGAGCCAGTTAAAATATAAGCACAAACAGTAAGACTTCTTAAGTGTCTTTAAATACTGGAAGTTGTCATTTACTGAGGTAATAATCACTTACAATAGCCCATACATGACTTGCTTGGATCTGCTTAATGTAACATTCAAATATGCTTCTGTCCAGGTAGGAAGAGATGAATGGTTCACTCACCTGCTGTTCCAAAATAGCCTTTTCAATGTCTGTTGATTCTTTGGTCTGGGATGAGGTAGTCTTTCCTTGTGTATTCCTTGCCAGGGTAGACACCCAGCCCAAAAGCTCTTTAACCTTCTCGACATGTTCCTGTTTTTCCTCTTCTACCACTTTCTGTAATAAGAAATATACAAGCAATATCCTAGTCAATATCTTATTAGACTGGAATAACGTCGGACTTCCTAAAAAAGAGATAACAAAGTTATCTAAAATCACTAGAGACAGTAAAAATAATCTCAAGCTAAACATGATTTAATTGGCCTTCAGCACTGCTCCCAAGTGCTTAAGTGGATGTGTTTATGGTTACATTTATTACATTATTTTACTATCATTCTTTAAAAAAATCATAGCATGGGGGCTGAGTACAAAGTACTTTATTGATGTTACAGGATAGGATGGGCTCTTTAAGCCCCTCCCCTTTCTCATGAGGAATGGATGGAAACTGTATAAGGATGTGAGATATTGTGTGTGTGTGTGTGTGTGTGTGTGTGTGTGTTGAGTTGGGGCAAAGACTCCTCAGCAGCTGAGGGTCTCTCTCTTTTCTAGTACTATTGCTGGAGCTGGTAGTCTAAGGGGCTATTATTCTTTGGAGGCCATGTGAACCATCAGGTTGACTACCTGGTTGCTATAGTCAAATTCATTACATTTGAAGAAATGAATTTGACAAAGTGGTTGTTCAGGCCAATGCCAGCCCCAGCATCAAAGATGCAAGAGTGAGTGTCACGGCTAAAGTCATAGGAGACAACTTGGTCTTCAGTGTATCCCAGGAAGGATACCCTGGAGGGACCTTTCTGATGCCTGCTTCACTTTCTTGATGTCACCATATTTGACAGCTTTTTTTCAGATGGCAGGCCAGATCCATGACTTACATACTGGGGGTGGGGACATGAAAAGCCATGCCAGTAAGTTGCCAATTTAGCTCAGGGATATGGCCTTTTCAGTATCAGAACAAGCAGGGATGATGTTCTGGGCAGTGCCATGGCTATCACACCACAGCGTTCCAGACGGGCCATCCACAGTCTTCTGGGTGGCAGTGATGGCATGGACTGTAATCATGAGGCCCTCTGTAATACCCAAGTTGCATGGATGACCTTGCCTAGGGGACCAAGCAGTTGGTCGTGCGGGAGGTATTAATGACAATTTTGAGAGAGTTGTCATACTTCTCACGGTTCATGCCCATCACAAATATGCAGGCATTGGCAGAAGGAGCAGAGATGATTACCCATTTGACACCACCTTTCAGGTGAGCCCTAGACTTCTCCAAGGTTGTGAAGACACCAGTGGACTTCACAACATATTTAGAACCAGCATTACCCCACTTGGTATTAATGGGATCCCACTTCTGGAAGACAGTGATGGCTTTCAATGACAAGCTTCCCATTCTCATCCTTGACAGTGCCTTTGAACTTATGAGTGGACTCACAGAGGAACATACAGAACATGTAGTTGAGTCAATGAAAGGGTTATTAATGGCAACAACATCCACTTTGCTATAGTTTAAAGCAGCCATGGTGACCAGGAATCCAATGCGGCCAAATCTATTTACTCCAACCTTTACCATCATGTCTCAGGGATGTGGCAGAGAAAAGAGGGCCATCTGTCAACAAGGAGCATAGAGCTTGTTTTAAATAATTAAAAAAATAAAAATCTGGTGCTGTCAGGTCAATTCCAGCTCATGATGACCATCCGGGGCATAGCAGAAAAGCCTCAAAGCTTTCCCAAGGCTGCATTCTTATAGAAGTAGATGTCACATTTTTCTCTTGCAGAATGGCTGGCAATTTCAAATTATCCAACCTTCCAATTAGCAGCTAACTGCTTAAACACAGCACCAACAATGTCATATGTCCTTATATATGACTGGTTCTACATAATAAATTTCTAAAAAGGCCCTTTGGTGGTGGTGATAGGTGCCATTAAGTCAACTATGACTAACAGCAACTCTATAAAAACCAGGTCTGAACCTTGCCCTCTCTTGCACTGTCCTCATACTCTCTGTCCTGCTCACGTCCACTGTGACAGTCACTGCGTCAATCCAGCTCGTTGAGGGTCTTCCTCTCTTTTGTGACCCTCTACCTTTCCGAGAATGATTTCTCTTTCTAGGGACTGGGATCATCTGAAAATCCATTCAAAGTAAGTGGGACAAAATTTTACCATCCCTGCATCTAAGCAGCACTTTGACTGTACTTTCTATAAGATAGATTTGTTTGTTCTTTTGGAAATCCATGTTGTTGCTGTTGTTGTTTTGTGCTGTCGAGTCGCCTGCGACTCATAGCGACCCTATGTACAACAGCCCTAAACTCCGCTCTGTCCTGTGCCAATCGCACTGTCTCTGACACTCCCATCCCAATTATCCCATTCACTGAATCAATCCACCTCATAGAGGGCCTTCCTCTCCTGCGCCGTCCCTTCACCCTCCCAAGCATGATGTCCCTCTCTAAGGACCGGTCTCTCCTCACAACATGTCCAAAGTAAGTTAGATGGAGCCTCAGAATCCTTGCCTCCAAGGAGCCACCTGGTTTAACCCTCTCCAGGACAAATCTGTTTGTTTTCCTAGCAGTCCATGGTATTCTCAATACTCTTCTCCAGCACCACAGCTCAAAGGCATCAATTCTCCTTCTATCTTCCTTGGTCATTGTCCAACTCTCTGATGCATAACAAGTGATTGCGAAGACCATGGCCTGTATCAGACGCACCTTAGTCTCCAGAGAGGCACCACAGCTCTTCAGCACTTTGGAGAGGTCCCTAACAGCAGACTTTCCCATTGCAATGTGCCTTTTAATTTCCTGGCTGCTGGTGCCAAGACTGTTGACTATGGAGCCAAGCAAACTAAAACTGTGTACAATCTCAATCTCTTCACCATCCATCCTGATGCTGCCAATTGGTCCAGTGGTGAGAATCTTTTGTCTTCCTGACATTGAGCCTCAATCCATATTGCAGGCTGCAGTCCTTGACACTCTGCAGCAGGCGCTTCAGGTCCTCCTCAGTTTCAGCAAGCAGGGTTGTGTCATCCGCATAACGCAGATTGTTGATAAATCGTCCACCAATCTTGACCCCACATTTCTCCTCATAGAGCCCAGCCTCCCGGATAATCTGTTCTGCATATAAGTTGAAAAGGTATGGAGACAGGATGCATCCCTGCGTACGCCCTTCCCAATTTTGAACCATGCAGTGTTCCCTTGCTCTGTTCTGACGACTGCCTCCTGGTCCAAGTATAAGTTTCGCATTAGTATATTTAATACTCTTACCCAACACTATAGTTCAAAGACATCAGTTCCTCTATGGCATTCCTTATTCACTGTCCAACTTTCAGATGCATAGAAAGTAACTGAAAACACCATGGCTTGGATCAGGAGCACCTTAGTCTTTAAACCAACATCCTTGATCTTTAGAACTTTGGAGAGTTCCTTGACAGCAGATCTCCCCAATGCAACATACCTTTTGGTTTCTTGTCTGCTGCTATTAAGGGTGCTGACTATGGATCCAAGTAAAATGAAATTGTTTACAACTTTTCTCCATCTCTAATGATGTTGTCGACTGGTCCAGTGATGAGGATTTTTGTTTTCTTAATATTGAGATGTAACCCATATTGAAGGCCAGACCGTCTTTGAGATTTCAATTCTTCATTTTCTTCAAGTAAGGTTTTGTCATCGACATAACATAGGTTGTTAATGAGTCTTCCTCTTTTTTTCTTATTTTCTGAGTCTTCCTCCAATTTTAATGTCACATTCATTTTCATATAGTTCAGATTCTAGAGTGATACTCAGCATACAGACTGAATAAATATGAAGAAAGGAAACAATCTTGACATATATCTTCTCATTTTCAAACCATGATGCATTCCCTTGTTCTGTTAGGACAACTGCTTCTTGGCTTATATAGAGATATCTCATAAGGACAATTAAGTGTTCTGGTATTCCCAATATTCTCAATTTCAGTCATAATTTATTTTGTATGCTCCACACAGTCAAATGCCTTGGCATAATCAATAAAACAGAAGTAAACATCTTTCTGTTATTCTTTGCTTTCAGCGAAGATCCATCTGATAACAGCAATGATATGCCTTGTGTAATGGATTCTTCTGAATTCAGTTTGAATTTCTGGCAGTTCCTTATTGATGAGATGTTCTAGCTTTTTTTTTATAATCTTCAGCAAGATATTGCTTGCATATGATAGAAATGATGCTGTTTGATAATTTACACAATCTTCTTGATCATCCTTTTTGGAAATAAGAACAAATATGGATCTTTCCCAGTCAGTTGACTAGGTAGTTATCTTCCATATTTGTTGGCAGAGTCTGGTGGGCACTTCCAGCATTGCATCTGTTCTGAAATACTTTAACTGGTATTCCATCAATTCCTAGCCACCCCCCCCCTTTTTTTGCTAATGGGGAAAAAATGCAGTGCAGCTTGGACTTCAATGTAGCTTGAACTTCTTCAGTACTTTGAATTCTTGGTCATATGCTACTTCCTGAAATAGTTCAATGTTGACTACTGCTTTTGCTAGAGTGACTTGGTGTGACATACCCATCTTTTTCTGATGTTTCTAGCATCATTCAAGATTCTGTCCACAAAATCCTTCAAATTGTTAGATATAGAGCCATAAGATGAGCCCCTCATGTTGAAAGCACTCAAAATGCAACCAGGGAAGAGCTGCCTCCTCAAAGTACTGTCTGCCATAGAGTGAAGTTTTTACCCAATGAAGTGGGAAGATTTTGCTGATGTGAGAAGACTTAAAGTGAAGAGAAATAACTGCAAACATATATCAATAATTGGAACACGGACTGTATGAAGTATGAATCTAGGAAAATTGTGAGTCATCAAAATGTAAATGCATAAAGATTCTTTGTGTGCTTTTAATATTTCTAAAACAAAGATATTTGGAGGTGAGAATGCTGTTAACATGTAAATTTTTAATTTAGGTAAATGAGGCTTTTACACACACTCAGTGAGTTATTTAGGGCCCAGTTGCCTTACCTCCTCCTCCTCCAGCCGACGGAGTGCATCACTGATGTATTTTACATGCTGAGTTGTTAAGGTCACCAGTGCTGTGTAGCGAGTCCTTAAGTCCATGAACTATGGTTCAAAAATATAATTTAGATAAATTATGTGTCAGGAAGTAAATGTAAATAATTTAAAGTAAGGGGAAGGTTTCATGGAGTCATATATTTAATTAACAAATGAACCCCAAATCAAACTTCAAGGCCCAGACAAGTGAGCCTTTCCTTCTGGAATCACAGAGGTATACTTCCTTTCCCCACCCTCTCACCTCTTGTGTGATGGCATCTGAAGAGGAAAGGACACGGCGGCGCTTGCCAGGGGATTTCTGCTGGGATTCCACAAAGGCCTTGTATGTCATCAATTGCAATTCATAGTCCTGAGGAGAAATTCTATTTTTACTACAATTATGTGGGACCTTATGGTTCACACACATCACTTAACAGAATCATAGCATTACCCTGCTAGATATAGTTTTGGTGCTCATTTATACCAGAGATTATAAGAAGGTATAGATCAGCTACTCATCTCTCTCACTGTATAGTCACAGACAATGCAAAATAGAAGGAGCTGTCTTACCACAAAATTGAAAGGAAAAGTTTGCATAATTTTCAAGTGTTATGAAATACGAGTCTTCAGATTTCTTTTAACCATGTCTAATGGGCCATACAAAACCTGGTGTGTAGTGTGTAGTCTGTGCATTAATTTACTAATCCCAGAATTGACAGTTTGCTGGCAAACACTCTAATTTCATAAATGGAGAAATTAAGAAAAGAGAAGTACCCTAAGTAACTCATTAGGTGAGTAGCAGAGTGAAGAGTAAAGAAGATTAGAGAACATTAGTTTTAGAATTTCTATAGCCACAGTCTTCACATTCACCATGCTATTCTGCTGTTTTCTTTGCAACTTTAGTCTAGGCTCTCTTAACTACTCACGTTATTTACTTTCTTCTAATTCATTTTCTATCCTGCTATATCAGAATAAATTTTTTTACAACACAGAGAATGCTCCCCATCTTAAATCCTTCAGTTACATAGATCAAATCTTCTCACACTTCAACATGCATGCTAATTCTCTGAAGAGCTTGTTAAAATGTATCCTGATTTAGCAGGTCTGAGATTCTACAATTCTGACAAGTTCCCAGTCAATGCTTAAATACCACACTTTGAGCAACAAGAATAGGAAATAAAGGTAATACAACTAAATAAGGCTTTATATAAGCTGACCCCAAAGTTCATTTCCCTGTCATTATTTCTCTAGTATAATATTTCTCTGGTATAAACTCTCCAACTATGCCAGAATATTTGCTATTCTTTCAATATAGCCATCTTATTTTCATTCTTCGGTGCCTTTGATTAATCTCTTCCTTGTCTAAAATGGCCTCCTTCTGTTGTCTATTTAGAAAACTCTAGGTAGAAGGAAAATATGGCATGAGTTCCCTAAGTATTCCCACACAAAAAATACTATAATGAAATGTTGTTAGTAATAATAAATGTCTTATTTACAGTCTGAAGAGCCTGAAAAGTGATGAGGGTAGAATCTGAACTTAGGTCCTTTGATTCTCGTAAGTCTTCTGATAACAGCTAAAGAAATACATTAATTCAAAATATATATGACCATTTTGTGTCACTGCTGGGTGACACATAGTAGGGAACAAGTCAGATAAAATCTTGCTCTCCTGAAGTGTGCTATCTAGTAGAAATGGTACAAAACAAACTTATATACAATTTTCTCAAGTGATTTTACCTTAAAGCTCTGAGAAAAACTGAGGAGGAGGTGGTCACATATGGTTCAAAAACCTTTTAGAATTTTACTATGAGTATAATATGAAACCACTGTAGACTTTTTAATACAAAAATGACATGACCAAGGAGACAGAGGGAATATAATGTGGTTATACTGCAGCATATTTGAAAGGAGAACCAACAGGACTTATTCACTAACTGAACATATAATCTAAGGCAAAGAGAAGAGCCTGGGATGAGGCTTTGTACCTCAGGTATTAAGAAAATGTTAACACCTATTCCTTAGATAGGCAAGATGGATATAAAGCAGGTTGAAAAGAAAAGTCTAAAACTTTTGTTTTGCCATGGTAAGTTTGAAAGGTCTATGTGTCAACCAATTAGAGACTCCTCAAATCACAGCTGTGTTTGCTACCATACTTAGCATCCCCCTCCATGGAGCAGTAGGAAGGACACATCTTCATTAACTTAAGGGCAAGGCCAAGTGCTGACAGAGGACCTCTGTTGATTTGTCCAGAAGCAGAGCCCATGGAAAAAAATACATATTTTCCTAAACTATCGTTACCTTTACAATTGTAGAGTATTGTTGGGAAAATTTTTGACACTGGTCCAGTTTTATCTGATTTCTCTCAATTTCTGCAAACAGTTCCTAGAAAACAAAACATCACAAAAATATCACTACCCTACTGCGAAACAAGTTAACATTTTTTTTACATTCTTTTTTTTTTTTATTAGATTTTAAGCAAGTTTATAAAGAACCTGAATTTCCATCTATTCATTTTTTTTGTTTTTTGGTTTGTTGGGTTTTTTTTGTTTTTTGGTTCTTTTTACATTCTATAGCAGTTTTCAAACATTAGCTGCACTGGAATCACTTGGAAGGCTTGTTAAAAGACAGATTTCTGGGCTACAACTCTAGAGTTTCTGATTCAGTAAACAGTTGCACCCCTGGTAGGTTCCTAGAGATGCTGACACTGGTGGTCTGGGGTTCACTCTTTCACAACCACAATTCTAAGCATTTTATTGATATATATATCAATTCATTTAATCCTAACAACAAGAACCTTATTATAATGTTGGCAGGACACTATGTTTTGTTAATTTTATTGCTAAAGAAGTAGAATGCTGACTGGTTAAGAATTTAACCAGTGCTTACTTGGGATCTGGATAGAAAGGGAGAATGTTGTCAGGTATCACTGAGTAATTATACTCATATAACCTATGAAGGACAGAACTGAATCTTGTCCTATCCTGCACCATCCTTAAAATCTCTATCATGCTCACAGTGGGAGTCAATGTGTCAGTCCATCTCACTGAGGCTCTTGCTCTTCTTAATGGAATGAAACAGTAAGAATGGTGACATAATATGAAAAAATTAACTTGTAACACTTAAACAGTATGTGCACAAGCAGTTAAATGGGAACGTACTTTGTTACGAAATTTTCACCAAAATTACAATGTTTTTTAAAAAAGAAAAAAACAGTGGTGAGCTCTGGTGGCCTAGTGGCAAAAAGCTGCACTGCAATCCAAGAGGTGTATGGTTCGAATCCACCAGATGCTCTGCTGGAGAAGGAGGAACAATCTCCTCCTGTACCAGTCAGATGTGATTTGACGGTGCACACAAAAAAATAAAATGAAAAAAATTTAATAAAAAGAGAAAACACAAACAATAATTGTGTCAAACTAAATAATTATGTTCAGATTTTTGTTTCTAGACAACCTAAACCCTAGTAGATAAAAATGTTTTCTCTATCACAAAGGAGGGAAGTCTGGTGGCCTTGTACTAAGAATCTGTGCTGCAATCCCAAAGGCATGCAGTTTGAATCCACCAGCTGCTCTGTAGAAGGATGGGCAATCTTCTCCCATGTGATTACTGCCTCTGAAAACCTGCTGGAGGGTCAGCTATGGGTTGGTTCCGACTTGACACAGCAACAATATCATCAAGAAGTAAAAGATAATTTTAACTTGGTGAATTCAATGTAGTCACAGCAAGTCAGGATGAGAAGAGATCTTCCAGGTCCTTTGATATAAACACTAAACCAGTATCTTAAGACTCTTCTTCAGCTCTTAGAAGAGGGGACTGGGAAAGTCTTGCCACTTTGGGAAAACTAGAATAGCATCCTCTTTTACCATGAACTACCATTCTTGTATGGGCACTGGCCACACTCACCGTCTGCTGGCTGAGCTGTTCTGACAGTACTCTGCTATCCTCTGCTTGACCTGGTTTCATCATTTCCTGCTGGGCAGTGGTTTCCTCAATCCACTTAATCAGAGTCCCATGGCAGGCTCGGTATTCTCCCAGAACTTCTTGAATACTTTCCAGCTCAGATTGGCTAAAGAAACAAAAGGAAATAGCTATCAGATAGCATGATACAAGTAAAAATAAATAAATAAAGGAGACAATTCAGCTGAGTCTGACCATAGTGGATACATCTTCTTTGTGTGGAAAAGTAGTACAAGGTTGAGTGAGACCTATGTAAATACCCAATACCCTATGACGTAAAAAACGAATACAGTATGGTTGTGCTCTGCTAGTCCGGAAAAGTGCCTTCTGGCCTGGTATCCTATGATAATCTCTGTCAAAATTTTTATCTAGACTGCCAAAGATTACCAATGAAGTAGTTAGAGCTGTACATTACTGTAACTCTGATGGCAGAATATCACATACATGATTTGAGAGTCACTACAATTTCTTAAAGTGGAGAGTGTATTGTGTATTGAAAAATTTTAGATATTGACTAGCCAGCCTATCCAGTTACCTTCTGTTACCACTCGTGTTAGCCTAACTAGCTTTGGGATAGTAATTCAACTAGAGAGACTCAATTTAAAGTTCTATAAATTGCTATAACCCACAAGCCTGTGTATTTCTTTACCCAGCACAGCCTATAAAAGGTATATTACTGGATCACCTTGCCCCTATCTGGTGGATGTGCCCTGTGTCTCTGCGTTGCTAGGAACAGCAAGAAGTGATGGGTTTCATGTTGTAAACACATCTAAATTAAAATGCTAAATTAAATGGTCTAAATTAAAATTATAATGATAAATTAAAATGGTCTAACCAGGAATGGAGGGGAAAGAAAGGAATACTTCTCTCTTTTTCTTATTCAACTCTGTTACAGAAGCATTATATCAAGTAATAGAGATAAAACCACTGAGTTAGTAAATAAGAATAGAAGTAAGACCATCTACAAAGCTTCAGTTTGAAAAAAGGCTCATATGTGGCTTGAAAGCAAGTGGAAAAGAATAGACGTCAGATTCTGAGAAAAGACTATCAGGTCTCCTTTCTGATCAATGCCATTACCATTGATGGCTTAAGAAGCTAAGCCTTTGAGACACTGGAAAGGCACTGCTGAAAGGGCCAGATTGAGTCTCTGATGGTCTAAACGCAGGCTTCTGGTTTAGTGGTACTAAAGTCCTATAAAACATCCTCATCCAGAATTTATACTGTTCCTTCATATCTACTCCTTCCCATCAATTCTTGCCTTCAGACAGAATTCACAGGTTTAACTCTTCTTCTGTTTCAGGCCCATTCCCAGAACTCAGACAATAGGAAAGGAGTCCCCACTAACCGGGTCTCGATCTGGGCAATGACTCGGTGCCAGCGTTCCTGCAGCTGGGAGCCTTTTTCCTGATAGCGCTCCAGGTCCAGGTTCCGCTCTGGTGTCAGGCGGCTCAGTTGCTCTGCCACCACCTTCGCCTTGGCCATTTCTTCATTCAGGACTGAAAACACTGAATTTCTGTCTTTCACATCACTAAGCCAATGCTATAAAAACCATAAGCATAGGAACAGGTTAAATACTTTCTGCTAAAAAGGATTCACCCAAAGAGAAAAACAGAACATTTTCTACAGCTGAGTCTGACTTTTGGCTCCCTCCTGTCTGAATGGAAAGAAATTTTTTTTCTTTATTTACCAGACAGAACTGCCTGTGAGAATAAAATGAGAACATGGATGTTTTTGAAACTTACAACATAACCAGTGACCACAACTAATCAAACCTTTTAATTTTACTGGGGATGGGGTAAAATAGAAAGGCAGAGTCCTTTCTAGCTAGACAAATAGCCCTTCCTCTTTTGAACACATATTAATATGTATAGATAAGATATTCTTTTCCAGTTCAAATACAAAATTAGATCAGTTTTATGACTTCCAGAGTTGGATTTCTTTGCTAACTTAGAACAATGAATAGCCTTAAATCACCCTTAAAGCAACCAACCCATAATGTAGACCGATGGGACTCCAGGGCTGAGAGATCTCCTGGCACTCCTTCTTCTTGACTCAATTTGATTTCATAACCTTTGACCAAGAGCTCAGCATCCTGTATGCTCCGTATTATAACATCGATTGTCTTTAACCTGTGAACAAAACCACCTTCATTAACACACATCTTAAAGGTTGGGCTAAGTATCTGGAGCACCACACAAGTCTCACAAAACATAACTGTTAAAACTAACTTCAACTATTATTACAAGAAAGTGCCGCAATTAAAGTTGGTTCAAAATAAAGCCCTAAGTGGCACTAAGATACATGTGTACGTGGTAGATTTCACTGAGAGACTAGGAGGAGTCCAAGATGTGCTACATTTTGTGCTCACTGTGGAAGCACATACACTACAATTGGAACAATACAGAGAAGATTAGAAAGGCCTTTGTGTAAGGATGACACACAAGCTGTGTTACTTCTCAAAGTCATGAATAAGAAGAGGCAGGATAAGTCAAGTCCTTCAAAACCTAGGAATTATAGTTCAGTTGAAGATGTTTCTTTTTATATTTTCACTTTCTGTTAATATTTTAATTGCTGTTTTCAGAAGTGCTCAAACAGAAATAAAGTATGAAACAGTCCTAATAATGCAAATTTTCTTCCCTTTTCTTTCAATGATACTTGCTCATTATAGACCAGTGAAGCCAAAGCACACTACTTGGAGCTATAATCAGCATCTATCATCATGAGTACATGTTCTTCAAAATCTACCATCTCATTGTTCATGCAAACTTTATTCCCTTCCCCTGTGGTCCTGATAGAAAATAATCACTCTTAGATTATTAGGTCATTAATTCACTCACTTATTCAGATACACAGTGGAGAGACCATAGACATGGTCCATCTTCTCCACGAGTAAATTGAGTTCTGATCGCAGAGTTGGGACACTAGAACCCGATGGAGACTGATGCAGAAAGCTGTTGCATTTCTTGGAAACATCATCCAAGTCTGACCTCAGTTGTTGCAAATCTTGCTGGGTGCGCTGTCAGGAAGACATACGACAAAGACAGAGACAGAATTAAAGGCAGAAGTTAAGATTTTGAAAAAGTTTTTGTTTAGAATAACAAAAAATGGAAACCACTTTAAATGTTCATATGTTAGAGAGTGGTTTTATAAACTCAAATAGCCACATGATGGAGAACTATACAGCTAGAGAAGAGAATGAGAACACTCTCCAGAACTGATACAGAGTGGATTACAGGGTATACCAAACAGATAAGCAAAGTCAAGAGTATACAGCATGTTACCGCTCATGTGTAAAATAAGAAAAATATAAATGCATGTTTAATTATGCAAAAAGGAGACACCAGGAATGAAATAGAAAGGGACATTTTTGACTATATCTTTCTGTGTAGTTTTGACTTTTGGAACCAGGTTCATGTTTTACATTCTTACAAATAATGAAAAGGAAAGGAGAGGCGTGAAAGGAAAGGAGGAAAGACAGAAAACTCTAAAATGGGACACATACAGAAAGAAATTAGCTTAACTGCATTTCAGACCAAAAACAACTTGATTCATAGCCATTCAAGCAGTGGGTTTTCAGAGGCTGTAAACTGCATGAAAGGATACTTCCCACCATTTTAAAATGGTTTAAAAGAAAATGGTTTGTCTTTCATCTGTGCAGCAGCTGGTAGAGTCAAATCACGTACCTTGGATTTTCAGCACAACGCTACTGATTAGGCCACCAAAACTTCAATATTTTCAGATATATAATAACATAATTACAATGTAGGAGGAAGGAAAAGAAAAAACAAAAACACCAAACTATCAGGTGAGACAGCTAGATCTTCAGCCTAAGACAAAGATATATAGATATAATGTTAAATTACAGATAGTTGGTCTTTTAGTTGTTTTTTGGTTTTAAGTGAAGTCTTACTTAGCAATTCTGAACTTTCTGTGTATGATAGAATTGAGCAACAAGTAGAAAAATGTAATCCAGCCTTTCAGTACTGAAGAAGAGAGTTACAAATATGGAAAGAGGAAAGGACACAGTGAGTCCTGTAGTGACAGTCTGAAACTGGAAATAAATAGCTGAGGATGTGTGTGTGTGTGTGTGTGTGTGTGTAAGAGAGAGAGCAAGATGTAGATAGAAATATAATACAGATGTAATGATTCCTCAAAACCATTATTATATAAAATGTATGAAACACAGTTGAGACAAAGATATATATATAGGTATACATGTGTTTCCAACTCTGTCTGATGATGGAGGCTGAGATGATACCCCAGTATCAATTAATATATTTGATTTTTAAATAATACTCTCCACCCAAAGGAAATAGAACTCTTTGGACAGTTTCAGGATTGTGGCCAGGAAAAATGAACTCAGAACATCATGTTTTGTCTAAAAGTAAGAAAATGCTCAGAGAATAATGGAGACATGTAAAACAAAATTAAAAAACCCTGAAATAACTTGAAGGAGGTTTCGCAACATGCTACATTTGGTAATTTTTGATCATCAAAAAAATAATGATAGTAACAGATTACATAAAACATAAAAAATAAGAATCCATGAGTTCATATTAATATAAGTTAAGCAAAGCAAAAAAAAAAGAGAAAACTTTTCCTTTTGGTAATAGGGAAATTATAAAGGGAGTTTAAAAACTAGCCTTTCACTAACTACTATCCTAACACTTGATTGAGTCAAGAACAGATGAAGAAAAAGACTGTCTTAAAAAAACCTAAGATTAGGCATTATATGTATGACAATTAGCAATCTGGAACAAGAGGTGCATTACAAAATGAGCTGGGGGAGAAGGAGGGGAAAATGTGCATCAATGAATTAAGGAAAACTCAACCTTTCTGTAAACTTTCATGTAAATCACAATTAAAGCAGATCTGGTGGCCTCGTGGCAAGAAGTTGCACTGCAATGCCAGGGGTAACCAGTTTGAATCCACTAGATGCTCTGCTGGAGGAGGGACAATCTCCTCCTGTACCAGGGAGATCTATTTGACGGTATACGTACAATAAATAATGAAATAAAATTAAAAACAAAATTTTAAGTGACACAGAAAATAAAAAGCATAAATCACAAAGAAAAAAATTAATAATTCTGCTTGAAGGTTAATTAGAAACAAGATAGTTACATAGTCTTCAAATATCTCTTCTTAAGATACTTTGTAATCACAAAGAGGAAAATGGTAACTTTATAATGGAGAAATATGGCAGATATGACCTTAAGCAACAAAAACAATGGGAGAAAGGGTAATAATGTCTCCTTATACAATGTTCCAAGGAAACAATGTTATTTCTGTGGTATTCCTGTAAAAAAAATGTTTTACTTAATTCTCATCATGATGAAATCTCAGCTAACCCCAAACAGTAGGTTATTCTACAAAATAATGGCCGATACTCCTCAAAAACATTAAAGGCATAAAAGACAATGAAAAACTGAGAAATAATTGCCAATTAAACAGAAACAACTAAAAGTAATGTATGATTTGAAGACTGCACCCTGGACTAAAAATATTCCTTCATTTGCTATAATGTATTAATAGGTCAACTAATGAAATTTTAATAAAGTCTGACCTTGAATAAATGTATCACATCTATGGACTTGGGAAGGATTGTATAACAATGAGAGAATTTTTTTTATTCTTTTCAAAAAGAAAAATGAACTGGGGGAAGAGTGGGCAGGCAGGAAAATGTGCAACAATGAATGAATGGGGGAAAAATTAAATGGAAAGAATATGCTGTAAAAAATATGTATGTTGCATAAAAAATCATTAATAAAAAAGTATCACATCAATATGAATAAAGGATAGTGTGAAATACAATGTATATTGTATTGCAAACCAATATGAAATAAATTTTTTTTAAAAGAGGATTGTATCAATTTTAATTTCCGGATTTTAGTCATTCTCTATGTTATATAAAAGAATATCTTTGTTTTCTGGGGAAGGCATATGGGATTAAGAGATAAGGGAGCATCATATTTGGAATTTGCATTCAATATAAAAAAGTTACAAATTATTATGTACACAAAAGAAAACGTAAAAAATGTTTACAACAACAATCTGGAACATTGCAAAGTGGACTAAGGGAGGGAGAAGGTTGGAGGAAGAAAGAAAATGTACAACAATGAATGAATGAAAGAAAATATTTACATTTTGGGAATTTACATGTAAGTTAAAAGGAAATTTTCAAATTATTCTTACAACTTCCCCATAAATCTGAAATCATCTCAAAGATAGGTTAGGGAATAAAAGGAGATACTTTAAGAAAGTTTTATTTCTTAAGAGTATTCTATTTTGTAGGAACACTTAGATTTTGGATGATTCAATAGAAAAGGAAAGTGCTTATCTATGAGAATGACAGGCTTATATGACATGCCTTTTCAGGCTTATTAGATCCTTCTCAACTAAGAGAATTATACTGCTCTCAATTAACTCTGTTTGGGGGTAGGAATAACTGAGAAAAGTAAGAAAAATCACTACTCCTCTTTATCCATTCCCTCCCGTTCTTTAAGCTCCTAGGTCAAATCCAATAATCATTATTAAGAGCTCTCTTATACCATCCCAAATATAAGAATTATAGTAATAAAATCTAAACTCCTACATTATTATTCCAATGTCAAGTTAACTATGTCTCATAGCGATTATAAATAATGGCTCTGAACCTCGTTCTATCCTGAGTCAACTTCACCATCTCCAACCACTGATAAAGTCACTGTGTTTAACTGGAAATTTTGGTTAACAGAAAAATAAGCCATTTTGTGACATCTTTTATATTGAAGCCTCTACTGTGACTTTAACCTTTAATTCTTTTTCAATGGCAATGGGTTTCATTAACTACACTGCAAATTAAACAGGAGCAGGATAGGGTAAATGTTGCAATGAGTCACAGCTGACTTAATAGCATCTAACGACAACATCATAAACCAAAATGATGACCCTTGATTTACTTTTCTTTGCATGATTCAGAGCACTTAAAGCAATTAATATATGCTGCTTTTATCCTAATACTGTGCTGGATTTATAGCTTTGATTTTTATAGGAAGTTCTATATGTATTGTACCATTTAACTTTCAAAACAACTTTGCAAATCATGTAAAGTTATCTCTGTATAAGATAAGAATCTAATGCTCAGGGTTAACTCGCTGAAAGTCACATAAATAGTACACCCTGGAATCCATGTTAGAACCTGACCCTTTCCTTTCTATTTTAAGATTTTTTAAAAAATTTATTATTACTTTCAGTAAAAAGTTACAGAGACTTTGGATTTTCATTCATTCACTGTTGCACTTTTCTCCCCTCCTAACCCTTCCCCCTTTGTACACTACCCTCTTGGAAAAGTAAAAGAAAAATTCTTTCATTGTTTTACAAACCCTCCCCAAGGTTCACTGCACCATGCAGCCTTCACTCTAGACTCCTGTCATGACAAAAATACCTAGTCACATATCCCCTTTAAACAGTTTTCTCCCTTATCTCTTTCAATGCAGTATATATTATTGAACCCATTTTTCTCAGTCTCCCCCCAGCCCCAATGTCATTCCTATTTTACAACAATGACACCATGCAGTATTTGTCCTTTTGTGACTGAGATATTTCACTCAGCATAATGTCCTCTAGGGTCACCCATTTTGAATAATATTGCACGAGTTCCTTGTTTTTCAATGTAGCATAGTATTCCATTGTGTGAATATACTACAGCTTCTCTATCCATCCGTTTGTTGATGGGCACTTAGGTTGTTTCCAACTCCTTGCTATTGTGAACAAAGCCGCAATAAACATGGGTGTGCAGACCCTTTCTTTTCTAATGACTCACAGGACTAATGGTAACCATATGCACTTAAGAGACAGAAGAGGGAGTAGAATCTCTACTGAAAGTCTTAAATTAGGTAGTCTAAATGAAGTAACTCACATGAACTTATCAGCCTGTCTGCCTTCACAACTCTGTAAGAAGGGCATACAATGGGGACTGAAATCTTGTTTCTCCACAGGTCATAGCCCCTTCTGTGGCTGACATGAGTGTCCTCCTTCATTCTTAGGATCCTACTGCCAGTCTATTCATTGTGAAAGCATTTACTCTGTAAATTTCCTAGAAACCTTCTTGCTCTTAAAGCTTACCTCTTGCTCTGCTATCTTTAATGCACTGTCCTGCCGAGCGTCTTCACTGGTTCTGGAGCTGCTCGGGGATTGAATACGTTTGACCAGCCTCTGTTCGCACTCTTCCAGGCGCAGTCGAATGTTCTTTAGCTCTGAAATGTACATCCTGGACATTGTCTCCTCTTTGTCCTCTGTTAATATGTAAGACAGAGGAATATTAGTGTCTATATCAGAGATGGATACATCTGAGGACCAATCAATGCTGACATGTATTAGACAGTAACTTCACTAATAAAACAAGGACTTATTTGGAGAACCTTCTCCCTGATCCTAACTCCACACATTACATTTTGACAGCTGAGGATCAAAATAATAAGACAATGTGACAGACAGGTTAATTAAGCAGTGGTGATCAACATAACAACAGGTCTCTTCAATCAAAATTCAATTTTGAGAATATTTTTCTACAAGTTTTTTCCATCCTCAAAGTCTTAGTAGCTAAAATGGTAAAATAGCAATGATGTCACTTTTTAGTTTATACAGACAGTCTTATTGTTGCTGTGTGCCATCGAGTCAGAACCTACCCACAGCTGACCCTCCAGCAGGTTTTCAGAGGCAATTAATTGCACATTAGCAGATTGCCCATTTTTTGCTCTTGGGGCAGGTGGTGGAATCGAACAATTTGCCTTTGGGACTGCGGTGCAAATTCTTACCACTAGGCCACCAGAGTCTAGCAGGATCCATAAGGATTTTTGGTGGCACAGTGGTTAAAGTGTTCCGTCACTAATAGAAAGCTACTCAGCAGGAGAAAAATGTGTAGGTGTTTCCATAAAGATCTCATCTTGGGCACCCCAAGGGCAGTTCCATCCATGCTATAGGGTCACTATGAATCAAAATCAACTTGAAGGCAGTGGAGTTGGCTTGGCCTAGCAGCACCCTCCCTAGCCCACCTCTGCCCCCTTATGCACATACCATTTTCTAAGGACTTCATCAGTTGCTGGAAGTGTGCTTTACAAGAATCCACTTCTTCTTCCAAGCGCAAGCGATCAGATACTGAAAAGAGCACAGAGTCCCGACTATCCTGAAGGAAGTCTTCATAGTGAGCCTGGAGATTCTTCATAATCTGGTGGCATTCCTCAGGTGCTAAAGACCGCAGCTAGAGAGAAAAGGTCAGGAAAAGCTTCCAATTGGTTTCTTTATCCGAGTACTTTATTGAAGTTTAAGACATATCCAAAAAAGTATACAAATTATCATTGTCAATGTATTGATTTTTCTGACATTTAACTCATGAATGAGATCAGTATTCAGATTACCATCACATGACCAGAACTTGAGAAGTGCCCCTTGTGGTCCCCCTGGAAAGAATTCCAATTTTTTTTTTTTTACAGAATACTTAAGAATACTTACTTCTTCCTACATGCCAAGGAGCTGTCTGTTACACAAAGTGAGAAGAAACTGTGACCTCTCGTTCCCCCAAGAATACAAAAGATACTGCTTATTGTCAACAGAAATTTCCTTACACATTCAGGCTGCTGTTTGTATTTCCTGAGACTCTCAGGCCCCTAACCTTGATAGATTATTCTTGACTCCACTTTAGTTCATTTTCATGAATAGGCAGGAGTCCTAACTTTGTTGCTGTTAGGTGTCTCTTGAGTGGTGTGTTCTTAACGACCCTAGAAACAACAGAACTGATCTATGCGCCACACTTGAGCCCACTGTCCCAGTCCCTGACTGTATCAATCCTTCACAGTGAGTGGGGGTGGAGAAAGGGGCTTTAAAAAGCCCCAAACAAACCACATAACAAAAAACCTGAAACAGATCCTTTTGAAAAAACTTTGCCATCAGGATGCAAATCTGTGAGCAGTTTTCACACTCACCTTTTCCAGATTCCAGCTCTGTACAAGATCAAGGTCCTTCCGCAGATAGTTCCAGGATATAAGACTTTTGGTATTAACATGCAGCTGGTGCCAAAGGGCCATCACTTTCTGGTATGATTGTTCTACCCTGGAAATAACACATAATCTAGCATTAGCTTTTGCAAGACTTGAGCTCTTTTAGGACCAAGAAGAGGCCAAGTGGTGCATTGTTTACGTGGCTGGCCATTAACCAAAAGGCCAGGGATGGGAATCCATCAACTGCTATTTGGGAGAAAGATGTGGCAGTTTTCTTCCATAAAGATTTGCAAACCTGGAAGGTGTATGGAGCAGTTCCACTTATAATGTTCCTATGAGTCAGAACTGACATGATGACAACAATAGATTTGTTTTTTTTTAAAAGAACAAATGTAACTACCTTAACCTTATGTTGAGTGAAGCAGGACAATAGGAGTTCTGGTGCCTTGTGGTAAGAAACAACATTGCAATTCCAGAGATGTGCAGTTCAAACTTATTAGTTGTTCCATGGGAGAAGGATGGGCAATCTCCTACCAAGTGATTTACTGCCTCAGAAAACCCACTGAAGGGTCAGCTATGAGTCCGTCTGACTCGATGGCTCCCAACAACAGCAACAATCACAACACAGAAATCTTTGTTGTTGGGTGTTACCTAGTTGGTTCTAACTCACAGAGACCCTACACACAACAGAACAAAATACTGCCTGGTCCTGTGCCATCCCAACACCTGATGCGATTCTCGTTGCCACCACTGCAGTTACTGTAGCAATGCAGCTCCTTGAAGGCCTTGCACTTTCCCCCTGACCCTCTGCTTTACCAAGTATGAGGTGTTTTTGCAGGAACTGGTTCCTCTAGATAACAGAAGCCTTTAGGACCCAATGAAATGAAATTCTCAAACTATCTGGATGTGTCAGACTATTGTATTTCCTAGCACATATTTAGCAATCTTATTAGGAGATACTAGTGAGGGAGAAATACCAGGAAAAACAAAAATAATAGTAGGGATAAATTATTGCTATTAAGAATTGTTGGAAATTGATGGTGTCCCTACCTAAAACATGTTCTACATATTACAAAATTGCCAAAGTGCTATCAATTAATAGTAAATTATTTACTAAGGGCGGAGCGGATGGGAGAAATAGTTTCTGCTTTAAGGATGACATGATTTTCTGTTAACAGAAACCATTAGGGGTGATGATTGCATAACACGAAGCATCTCATTAGTGTCCCTGAAATGTTACCAAAATAATAACTGTTATTTTGTCAACGTTATTTAGCTAATGTTAAAGAAAAATGTTAATGGCAACTTATGCTCATCTGACATACAAAAAAGTACCTGCAGTGTGATGAGTTTTTCTGAAGTAATTCATGCCAAATGCAGTCTTAACTTCTAGAAGACTTATAAGCACACAGGTATATAAACAGACATGTACTAAAAGGCCCCAAATTTTTTCAAGTTGAGAGGAAAATATGCAATATGGGGAATGATTCAAAAGTTATATGTGTATTTGATCTTTATAAAGAATTAATTTAGAAAATCCATTTTGGATACAGGTTAAACAGATTGAAGAGAACTATCAGTACTTGTGATTCTGATTGGAACAAAGAAGCTATTTTATTTTGGGATATAATCATAAATCTTGCTTAGATAGTTGTTGTTGTTGTTGTTGTTGATTGCCTCTGAGTCGAGCACAACTCATAGCGACCCTATGAATAAAAGGCCTGAAGCCCCTCTACAACTATCGACATTCATCAAAGTTCATAGTTTCTAGAGGCACGTTGCTTAAGAAGATGCTACTCCTGCTTCCAATGCTTAGATAGGATGATACGAAATTAAATTTCAATATGTTAGGTGCAATAATGAAACTGTGACTATTGAGATACATACTGAACTGAAATACAGATAAAAGAATAACAAGAATGACTAAGCTTTGCTTAAAAATAAGGCGGGAGAGGCAGACACACATGCAATTAGTTTGAAAGACTGGCTATGAACTGATCACTATTGAAGCTGTATGATGAGTTAGTAGGTGTTTTACTATTTACTTGATTTTTGTACATGACATAGTATCTGTAATAATTTTACATATTAAAAAGAAAAGGGGGTGGGAGGGAAGCTCTGGTGGCCTAGTGGCAAGAAGCTGCACTGCAATCCCAGAGGTGTGCGGTTCAAATCCACCAGATGCTGTGCTGGAGAAGGAGGAACAATCCCTTCCTGTACCAGTCAGATCTGATTTGACTGTACATGCACAAAAAAAATAAGGATTAAAAAAAAATTTATAAATTCCCCCCAAAATAAAATAATCTACATAACAACTCTATGAGCAATTACTAAGTGCCACTGATTCAGAACCGACTCACAGCTGACCTTGTGGTGGATTCTGTTAGGCAGTAACTGTATGGGACTTGACTGCGTAACTTCCTCCTGCAGAGCAGCTGGTGGATTTGAACCATGTACTTTGGGTTGTCAGTGCAACTCTTTACTGTTAAAATCACCAGAGCTCCCTATTACTTATAGATGAGAAACAGAAACAGAAGTGTAGTTAAATAAATTATGCAATAAAAGAAAGTACTATGCATTAGTTGTAAAAAGTAACAATCAAAACTACTCAAAACTCACTGCCATCAAGTTGGAACCAATTCACAGCAGACTATCCAGTAGGTTTTTAAGGCTATAAATCACATAGGAGGCGACTATCCATTTTCCTCTGGCAAAAGACTATGGCACCAGAACTGCACCATACGTAAGTGCTCAGATAAGAAGAAGGCAGTAAGAAACAGCTTGTTTTTTAATTAAGAAATCACTAAAGAAGCCCAGAAGTTGGAGGCACTAGGAGCACTGGGGGCTTAGCGGAAGGCATCGTGCTGTTAATGCAAAGGGACAGAAAGACGGGCAATCTCCTATGAGCTGTACTGCCGCTGAAAACCCACTGGGGGATCAATTATAGGGGTTCCAACTAGATTGTATACAACAACAGCAACAGCAGATGCTACTAAAGGCAACTGTGGGCCTGGGGTAGAATTGGAAATATGAAGGTTTTTTTCTTCTCTGGAGATAAAAATAGTTCAAAAGTAAAAACCTACAGATGCTAATGTCTAGAAGTGGCCCTACAAAATGACCAAATCTTTGATCAGCTACTTTGAAGCTTCCAGTTGGCAAGCCACAGTTTCCAACCCAATTTTCAGGGCTACACTATTAAATGTAGGTAGATAATCAAGATTAACATCCAAGGGATGTTTCTGCTATTAAAAGACTGAATTAAAGTGGACTGAGAAAAAGGACCTGAAGAGGAAAGTTGAGAAAGCAGCGACTCTAAAGAACAGAAGGAACTTCAAATCATTCACAAAAAAGGACAAAAAGGACAAAAGCAATTTAACAAAATAAAACTTTATAAGAAAAAGCCTAAAGTGAAAACAGACCAAAAACCCCAACAAAACCAATCAGAGAATTGGTTCATGAGGTCCCAGAACTGGTTCAAGAGGTCCCAGCTTTGACAAGTGGGACTTCTTGAAAGAGAGAAATGGAAAAATAAAACTAATTACCAATCAGATATTTGTCCAGAATAAAATTAATAATGAATAATCCAAGAACAGTTTCTCAGATCCGAAAGATAGAAATTTTGAGTTAAAGCATAATGACTGCAAAAAAGACCTGGATTAAGGTAGAGAAAACACTCTTGCCAAATATTAGAGAAAGAGAAGAGTTTAAAAATTTCTAGAGAGACAGGGAGGAGTGATAGGGAATGGCAAAGGACACACTGACAAAGAAGATTAATCAGAACTGGCTTTGACAAGCACTGTGGCATTTGGACAAGAACAAACTGGGAGGAGGGTAGAGAGAATAGTGCACAATGAATGAGTGGAAGCCCAAAATCTCTGTAAGTGTTTATGAAAATTAATAAAATATAATTATAGAAAAAAAAATTTCTAGAGAGAGAAAGAGTTTGTTCAAAGGGTACAATGTTGCTTTGTATCATGGCTGTGATGGTAGATACAGGATACTGTGCATTTATCAAAATCAACAGAAAGACTCCCCCCAAAATATTTTACTATTATGTAAACTTTTAAAAAAGTATAAAAATGTAATAACTGGGCCTCAACAACAAATTGTTAAAGCTAAAAAACAATAAAGCACTGTCTTCAATCCAATTCAATGTTCAGAGTGAAAATAATCCTCAAATTAGAATTCTGTAGCTGACCAATCAAATGAGAGGAAAGATATTTTCAGATTGAGGAAAATGAAAAGTCACAAAAAACCCAAATCACTTCCCAAGCAGCTGTTGTCAAAAAGCTATTAAAGGAGAATGCTCTTGACCAAAACAGAGAGGAAGTCAAGATAACTTGGAGTCAAGGAATCAGAAGATCCTGAACAGAACACTGAAGAGAGGTGGAAGGGATTTCCAAAGTGAAGATGAAGAAAAATGCTAGGGTTCAATCCATCTTGTTAGGGGTCTTCTTCTCTTATGCTGACTCTTCCCCTTTCCAAGCATGCTATGCTTTTTCGCCGACTGCCCCCACTTGAAGCTTGATAAAAGTAAGTGAGACAGTCTCATAACCTTTGTTTCTAAGGACCAGTCTGGCTTTTCAGATAGATCTGTTTGTTCTTTTGGCAATCCACAGTGTATGCAATACACTTTGCCAGCACCACAGTTCACAGGCACTACTTCTTTGGTTTAGGCATTCATTCCTTGTTCACTCTCCAACTTTCACAAGCATATGGAGAAATTAAAAACAGCATGGCTTGGGTTAGGCTCAAGGACATCATACATTTCCCTACCAGTTTGCTCAGATCAAAGAGCAGAAGGCAGGAATGAGTGGTAGTGGAGCAAAGTTACCTGCTGGCCATTTCAACGGCATCCTTATTGGGTGGAGGGATGAGGAAGCAGACTGAAGGCACCATTGCCTCGTTCCCTGTGGGGCTGATCACTTTCCATTTGGTCCGCTGGGAATTATCTTCTAACACACATTCATCATTCTTGCAAACAGTGATCTGAAGAGACAAATTAACAAATTATTGCTAATGAATAAGGCAATAACCTTTTATTAGCTAGTGCTTTATGCCAGAGTATTTTAGAGCTCTGTGATTTTTCTTTAGAGTCCGTGAGTTTAACAAAAAGAAAATGTGTATAAATACATAACACAGGAAATATGACATCAAATAAATTAAGGGAAAAGTATAATATGCCTGTTACATGTCAAGTAACATACTGTATTTTAAAAGATTATAACACACATAAAACCAATCTTTCTGAACTTACAAGCAAGCATGTAAAAAAGAGTAGAAGGGACATGAATAATCACAACTTTGTTTTCTCAATATTTCCTTCTCTTTTCTTCCTATTGTTGTGCCATCGAGTGGACTCATAATGACCCTAAGGACAACAAAGCTGCAATCTCACCCTGTCTCGTGCCATCCTTACCATCTCTGATATACTTGATATACAGTCACCATGTAAATCCATCTTGTAGAAGGTCTTCCTCTTTTTTGCCAACCTTCTACCCTTCCAGGCATGATGTCATTCCTTCCTATAATTCCACCCAAATCTCTGAAACAGTTTCAGCATTTTGAGAAACAAGTAACTGACATTATTATCCTTTTGTATAGGAAAAAAATAGTAAGATATAGAAAGGTTAAGTCTCATTCTTTCTTTTACTCAATCATTCTTTTGTATCACTAATATATACAGATAGATCTTGGAGAAGGTGTAGCTAGAGTCCTCCTTGGAGGCAAAGATAAAGCTTTGTCTCACATACTTTGAGTATGGTCCTAGGAAAGGCAACTCCTTGGAGAAGGACATCATTCTTGTAAAGACAGAGGGATGGTAAAGGACAGAAGACCCTCAATCAGATGGACTGACACAGTGATTGCAGCAACGAGCTTGAGTGTGTCAGAGATTGAAAGAGTAGCACAAGTTTCAGATCCGTTGTTTCCAGGGTCACTATGAGTCATACTCGACTTGACAGTCTCTAACAACAACAATATACACTGAGATCTACTATATGCCTATAAATTATCTAATCCACTACGGGGAATGCTACAATGGTAGCACATTAGAACAGTTCTCATATTCTAATATTCTTTACAAATAGCATGTGGATAGCAATGTGTATACTTTTATAATGCCCTCAACATGTACAGGAAACTAATGTAAATGAGTGCTTCATTTTGCAAAGATAACACAACCGTGTGTCAACTCCAAGTTCGAGCCTGCCCGAGGATAAAGAGCCAGTTGCGACTGCAAGAACTAACCCCAGATCCTGCCCTGTTATTAAAATCATACTGGATTGTCTAACACGTTTGACATTAGACGTGGTTTTTAAATGAACAGAAAAAAAAAGGTCATATTGGATGTTGAAAAAAATATGGCATATATAGTCACAAAGTTATGATATGCTGTCAAATTAATTTCAACTCATAAGATTCAACATGATACAGCAGAACTGTCCTACGGTGTGTTAGTGTTAATTAAAATAAAATTATTTTAATGAAAGTTTACAGACTTTGGATTTCCATTCATTCATAGTTGCACACTTTCATCCCTGCCCACTCCTCCCCACCTCCCCAGTTAACTTTTCTCTGTAGAAAGTAAAAAAAAAAAAAATTTCATTTCATTGTTATTCAAATCCCCTCCCCCCATCAACTCCACTACGCAGCTTTCACTCTGGACTCCTGTCATGACAGTACCACCTAATCATATATTCCTCCTAAACAGTTTGTTCCCTCATGTGTTTCAATGCAGGATACATTATTTATCCCCTCTTTCTCAGTCTCCCCCCAACATTGATGTCAGTCCCACTTTACAAGTGGCACTATGCAGTATTTGTCCTTTGGTGACTGAGATATTTCACTCAGCATAATGTCCTCTAGGGTCACCGATTTTATATAATATTTCATGAGTTCCTTGTTTTTCAATGTAGCATAGTATTCCATTATGTAGTATCCCATTCCTGTAATCTTTATGGACACAAATCACCTTGGAGAGCAGCAGGCAGGAGGGTTTGGACTTCTTGGTCAGCAGGGCTCCTTGACCAGTTATATTGAAACACTATGTAACAAGTGCTAGAGCATAGCAGTTTACTAGGGAAAAATGGAAGGGACAAAACCTAATCTTTGCATACTTCCTGGGGAATAATGGAAAGGACATAATCTAATCTTTGAAAAGAGGTAAAGTGAGATTATTCAAGGTTCTGTAAACTGCATTAAGGAGTGCCGCTTTTCTCCCAGAACAATTGGAAATTTTAAGATTAAAGCAGGGGATGGCACATTATCATGCTGCTGGTAGGATGCATTGAATAAGGAGACTCACGTGATCCAAGTGAATGAAACAAATGTCTAAACAAGAGCAGGAGCAGCAGGAATACAAAGAAGTATATTTAAATGATACAACAAGGATTCTGGGGCTTCGTCTGACATACTTTGAGCATGTTGCAAGGAGGGACAGGTCCTTGGAGAGGAACATCATGCTTGGGTGGGTGGAGGGACGGCGCAAGAGGGAAGACCCTCTATGAGGTGGACTGATTCAGTGACTGGGGTAATTGGGATGGGTGTGTCAGAGGCAGTGCGATTGGCACAGGACAGAGCAGGGTTTAGAGCTGTTGTTCTATATAGGGTCGCTATGAGTCACAAACGACTCAACGGCACATAACAACAACAACAACAACAACTACTAGCTAGCTGGGGTTGGGAGTGGAGTTGAATAGGAGAGAAGAAGAAAAAATGAAAAGCATAGGACATCTCCTAGGTGGTAAAAAGCACCATTTCTTTCTTTTACACTTTTTATTGTGCTTGGAATGGAATTTCACAGTCATTCATATAGATTATGTTTTATGACCTTAATTACAGTCCTCACATTGTAACAGTTCTCATCCCACTTACACCTTATGAGTCTCATTTTCATTCATCCTTTTAGCCTAATCCATCTTGCCACCTAAGCCTTATTCCTGTCCTTTTGGACTTCTATAGAATTAAACCTCTCTATTGGTACTGTTAACCTTATAAGCATGTCTATTGTTTGGTTGAAAGTACAGCTACAGGATTGTGTTCAGTTACAGCTTTAAATAGGGCCAGTGCCTACATTGTCTGTGGGTTCCACTAGTCTTTATCAGACCAGCAAGAGTGGTCACTCATGATCTTGAAGGTTTTTTTCATATTTTCTCCTACTCTGTCCAGAATCCTCTACTGTGATCCCTTTAAGAGCGGTTAACAGTGGTCGACAGGCACCAACTAGTTCTTCTGGTCTCAGGGTAGTGGAGGCTGAAGGACTGTTTCTAGGTGTCTTTGATTTTCTTCATTCTCCTTCCCCCCCCCCCCCCCCGACAGGGAGAGACCAATCACTGTACCACTTGCAGTAGCCACTTGGTAGCTTTAAGACTCTAGCCTTAAAAAGCCCTACTTACTAAAGCAGAGTGTAGATTTTTACGGACCATGGTAAGCCAGTTGACCTGGATGTCTCAAGAGGCTGGTCTTGAGGCCCTATCAATTCATTCCCTAAGAATGCTGGGTTTTGACTAAGAAACGTAATACTTTGCTGTCTCTTGGCACTACTATACACATGGATAATTTCAGCATATACAAATATGCACATAGAACCTTCAGCTATGTATGGTTATGTATGTAGTCCCTTTCTCCTGCCCGTATCTACTCATCCTGCCTGCCTGCCTGTACATTCATTCGTGGATTAAAGCCTGTTATTATTGGTAGTGTGGAATTATGCATGTAACAATGATCACCTTTGATGTATTTGCACTTATGCACCTGTCTCTTCCTTTTCTCTAATGGTATTGAAAGCACCATACCTCATACCCCCACTGCTTAGGTAAGTCAGTGAATGGTGACATAAATCACTGAGGCCAAGAAGAGGGCAAGACTGACACTTTTAAAATAAAAATGAGGGGAGAAATCTGATCATGCTTAAATTCAAATAAAAGAAACCCTATTGCTTGCTCTTTCCTTATTATCTTAATTCCAACAGGTTTTCCTTCTGTCTGATACTTAGAAGCACGCTTTCACTTGCTTACCTCAATCTGCCGATAGTCACAGATGGCCTTAACAGAAATGGTGCTCTTCAGCACATGGTCTGGACTGCGAGGCTTTAGCTGAACAATAGCTTTTGATCGCCCAACAAGACTGGCAACGGAACTCTTGGACTGTATAAGCTGTTCCTTTTCATCCTACAAAAGGAGAAGAAAAACAAAAAGACATTAATGTTGCTAGTTAGGGTTACAAAATAAAAATGCTCCACTCCCTCAGAGAATGTCACATCTCAATTAAGTAGGGATCTGCAGTGGAGCCATCTTAGAAACACAAGGATACAGAAAATAGAGTATACTTCTATCTTGTATAAATGCTTCTAACTCAAATTTTGTAGCTTTCTCTCTGTGCCTTTTCAATAAATAATAAAGTCACATGCAAAGATAAAACAAAGCAAAACAAGTATTCTAGCTGCCAAATGAAAACTAGGTAGATAAACTAGGAGACCACAGAAGCTAAAAATATGAATTATTTTTCTTATTGTTGTTCAGTTATTGCTTTTCATTTCCTCATTAGAAGCCAGTTCTTGCCTTCCTACTTAAGAAAAACTAAAATTCTACTTTAAAAATATTTTGTTAAAAAATAATTTTATGTTCCAAGATCTATAAGTATTTAACTTTCTTCAATTGAGTCAAGTTCTCTAGAAGATCTTAGTTCAATAATGCCGATGATGAAGGCATCATGAGAAATGATTTAACATTTACCTTTTAATTTCCTGCAGCTTGCCATACTCATGTACATTTGACTAGTTTCAAAGAAATATCATGCAAAATGGAAATTCTCATGTTTCTGCAAATGCAATTATCTTAAAAACCAATGAACTTGTCCACAAAATTGGTAGCAATCTACTACCAATGCTATTAGAAAGTAAAGAATAAGCTTTTGTCTATTAATCCAGATATATCAAGCCTTTTGATGTATGAAAGTCCCCAGAAAAGGGCTTTCTTAGGATGGAAGTAGATGTGATGAAAGCAAAGAGTTAATAATGTTAAGAAATGCCATTAAAGAATAAGAATATGCAAGTAAAGAAAAATAAATGCTTAAATAAACTACCTGTGCCTGTCCCCGGGAGCATGATTGGAAGAAATACAACTTTAACTTATTAGTTAAGAAAGAGGAATGGAATATATAGGGGGACAGCCACATTGTTCCATACTTGAGAGCTGGTCTACCCATTTCAGTTTCCTTCTATTAAAGATGTCAATTTCTGTCTAACCCACAGTCAAACATCTCAAGCTTCAGAGACCAAGTGCTGAGCGTGGTAAAAATTCTGAAAGGGATCAGAAGCCAGGACAGATGCTCCCGAACCTGTCGGATAAGCTGAGGAGCAGACCCAGGTGACTCCATGCCCCGATGATGCCGCCAACCCGAGGCCCCTGACCTGGAGAGGAAGGAAGAGAGCAGCGACCCTCGAGAAGAGAAGATATGACAACAGCAGAGGAGTTACCCTGTGAGAGACGGGTACTCTGTGGGAGGGAGGAGATGAGAGCCAAGGATTATCTTCCTCCTTCACACATGCAGTACCTCCAAAGAGACATTCTAAAGACAACATCTGAAAAGCCAGGTGTTTATCCTTTATTCCAGGTTAATTCAAGTAACAGACTACTGGCCCAGATGAAACACTGATTATAAACCAATTCAGTTTTGCAATATATTTTGAAGTACTGAAAGTATACTTTAAAAGAAAAGAAAAAAAAGGAAATCAACAAATGTTCACAAAGGTTCATTTCTCACCCACCCAAAAAAGAATACTGTTTGGAATTATTCTAATTCTCTTATCAGACATTTTTAGTGAAATGATTTGGAAATTCTCTTCGATTCTCACATAGAAAAAGCAAATTCCCTATTACATATACATTTTTATATTCAATGAGATAGAGCTTGGGTCTTAGTACAACGTACATTAAATAAATGTAAACAGTCTTGCTGCTGACTTTATCACCAGCACTCCTAACAACAATTCATTGGACAAAATAAACATAAATTTGTATTAAGTACTAGATGCAAAAACTATTTTTAATAAGTTAATATTGCTATATAAGCAGACAAATCTGAATAAGATTTTAATATTATCCTTGATTGATTAGAACCCATTTTCTAAAACCTACTAAATTGTTGTTAACTGCCATTGAGGCAACTCCCACTCACAGCAACCCCATGCCTGCTACAACAGAGCTGCCCCACAGAACTTGTCTTTTTGTCTGCAATCTGTTGGAGAGCAGATCATGGGACCTTAGTCTTGGAGACACACTATGTATGGTTGAACCACAAATCTTCAGTTCAGTCACCATTATCCACTGGAAGCTCCAAAACACATCATTATCTTATTGAAAAGAAAATTATCAGTAAGGAAATATTTGCCTTCTATTTCACTGTGTATTTTAATTCTCCTTTGCATGAGAAGATAAACATTTTGACATGGTTAATCCATTCAACTGGTTTTCATATTCTACAGCTCATCTCTGTTTCTATATATTGAATTAAAATTGAAACAATACAAAGTAAGATAAGCTTTAAGTGGTTCAAAGGGAGATGACTAGCCTTTAACTCAATAACACACAAAAAAAGAATCTTACTTGCAACTTCTTTCAGGAAAAGAAAAGGGCCAGAATAAAACTGATTAAACTGTACTTGAGTGTGGGCTAAACTTTTTAACACTGAATATCACCCAGGTGATTTCACAGATATAAGCAGCAGCAGTTGCTATGGTTTTCTCTCTTCCCAAGGAGTAAATATCCCAACTGAGGCAACACCTACCATGGAGTCCTGGAGCAGGTCCTCCAGGCGGGATAAGCTGGTATTGTGATCACATGTATATTTTCGTTTGATGGAGTCTTGAAGGTTCTTTAAGAATGAATCCAGGTCTCGGGCATCACTGAAGAACTGTGGGGATATAAGAGAGAGATGCCTTGTGTAAAACACATCACAAAACTGAGATGTTAATCAAGAAAGAGCAATCTTATTGTGCAAATCTGAGCATACTCCACAAAATTTGTGAGAAATTATTAGCATGTGGCCAGGAGGGACCAGTCCTTGAAGAAGGACATCATGCTAAGAAGGGTGGAGGGACAGTGCAGGAGAGGAAGATCCTGGATGAGATGGATTGACACAGTAACTAGGGAAACGAAGGTTGGTGTGTTAGAATCAGGGATACTGGCTCAGGACAGGCTAGGCTTTAGAGCTGCTATACTTAAGGTCACTGTAAGTTGCAGGCAACTTGATAGCACATAAGGGACACAGAGGGATCTGTGTGGATAACAATTTGAAAAAAAATGGCCCATTATCACTTTGTTCCGTAAAGTTAGAAGTCAGCCTTGGTGCTCTCGATATTCTCCTCTCAAAAAAAAATGGAATGAAAGCCAAACCCACTGTCATAAAGCTGATTCAATTTACAGAATGAACCTATAGGACAGACAGAACATTTTGAATATAGTAATCTTTACTGAAGCAGAATGCTACATCTTTCTCCTACAGAAAAGCTGGTGGGCTCTTACCACCAACCTTCCAGTTGGTAACCAAGAACTTGACCATTGTGCCATCAAAGCTCTTTGGCTGTCTATCAAAGAGTCTACTGTTTCTCATGCTCAGAAATCATTGCTATTTTTCCTCCTGGCTTCTGGCACTTAGCTGGGAGGTATATCTCATAAAAGCCAACAGGGTCAAAGTATCAAATAGTTATTATTTCAAAATGATCAGAGGAGAAAAAACTGTAAGTACATTCTTTCACTGAAGAAAAAAAACCCCTCTGAAGTGGTCACAATATTTTTTAGCTCCTCCATTAGGACATAAAGCCTATTTCTACTGCTCCTGAATCTGAGTTTGGTTCTATGACTTGCTTTGGGCAATGGCACATTTATAAATGTGACAGAATCAGAAAAAAAAAAAAAACCCAAACCCCAACAAAACAACAAATCTGCTTATACACTAGGATTGGTTCTTCTGCTGCTCAAGCAGCATAATCAATCACTTTGTGAAGAAGTCTAGCCTAATCTGTTGGATGCTAGGGATACACAGCCTTTATCCCACCACCACAACCAACTGTCAAGTATATGAGAAGCCAGTGGGCCCCAGCTCACCTCCTAGCTGCCTGCAGTCAGGAGAAAGCTCAGGCAATGTGAAAAGAACTGTTAAGCTGAGCCTTAATTAATGACCAACCCACAGAACCATGAGCTGAATGAATTGATTGTTGCTTTAAATAAGTTTTGAGGGGGTATTTTATACAGTACAAACTAATTCAGATGTCTTTAATCACACACACTCACACTCATTCCACCATACCTGAAAGTAAGCAGTATTCTCTTTCACATGCTGCTCAACACACAAGCAGAGCTGCTTCATCCACTGTAACTGGGACTGGACAGCCGCACTGTAAGCCTACAACAATCACACACGCAGACAAAGGGGCATGAGTTTAACAGGCACAATATGGATATACAACGCTCTCTTCCATTGTACAACTCTATCTAATAATACACAGCCAAAAAAAGAGAAAGCTATTTATCAGCATATAGTCAATAATTCCCAAGGGAAAGAGAGACCTACTTTTTATCAAATACGACTTTATTAGAAAAAAGTTAAGTGAAAAAAAATTCTCTTCTACTAAATGATCTAATTAGCAAAACATGGGTATTAAAAACCCACTCTAGCTTCCTTGATCACCTCTCTGATAAGTAAAGGCACAACAAGAAGAGGGATCTGTGTGGATAACAATTTGAAAAAAAAATGGTCCATTATCACTTTGTTGTATAAAGTTAGAAGTCAGCCTTCAGGTGCTCTCGGTATTCTCCTTAGAGTATTAAAACAGTGTACAGTATTTCAGGGGCTATAGGAACAGTGAAGGAAGGAAAGGTGTAGTCTTTTATGACTCCAGATAAATGATGCCTAAGACTTCCTCCAAGTCTCAGTGGAACAAAGCCTCTGATTGGAATACTTCTCTAAATATCACCTCTGAACATCTCGTTTTCACCCATTCTCAAGTCACATACCTCCACTGTCTGTTTGGCTGGGTGGTTCTCAAGTGACAGCAGCTCTGCTGTATCCTGGAGAGACCGGAACACATCCTGCTTCTCCTCTAGTTCCACTGTCAACTCCTGGAAGAGAAATTCCATTGTATGCACTAAGTGTCATTCAGAAAAGAGCAGCAAGAATGAAAAAGGGTGGGGGGAAGCTGCAGTCTCTGGACTCACTTAAAGGAGTCTATGATACAAAGAGACATAGAACATCTTTGGGCCTATAATACAAAGAGATATATAAAGAGTATATGTCAGAAGATTTCAGAGACTCAGAATGGTAGAATTATTGGGGAATGAGTCACAAAAAGCCCAAGCTAGACTTGAGTAAAGGGAGAAAACACAGAATGAGCAGTAGAGGCAAAGAAAGCAAATGGCTTGGCTGGAGTGAATAGTTCCTGCTAGCATTCAGCTACTAGTCCATGGCACACCAGTAGATCAGTATCACTGACTGACTGGCTTTGCTGCAAATATTTCCTCAGCCTGCAATGCTGCTGTCTGACTCAATTGGACTCAATTTAAATGCCACTTCTTCTGTGAAGCTGGTACTGACCCTTACAATCTGAATTTCTATCCCTTTTTCCTTGGTATTTTTAGAGCTTTATCCTTTGTATCTCTGGAATAAAGTCTCAGTTCTGTTCTCATAATATCCCCATAATGATCATTCTTCCTTCTTTACTTGAAAAAATTCATTTCACATTCTCCAACCAAAACATATCCCATTTCTTAAGATCTCTAAGTCAATGGAATTAGCCACTGAGTATACAAAGTATTAGTGGAAAATATTCCCTGTTTGCATAGTTCTTGCTGTTCTTACTAGTATTTGCTGCATTAATTCTGACTCATGGCAATACCATGCATACAGAGTAGAACTGCTCTACAGAGTTTTTAAAGTTGTTCACAAAACCCTTAAAAATTCTAAGATATGAAAACACTAAAAGCACCAAAAATAACCCCCACCTATTTATATACATTGAAAACAGGAGTGGTATCCACTTCCTAAACAACATGCCTCTGGAAACTCTATGAACTTTGATAAATGACGATAGTTATAAAAAGGCTTCAGGCCTCAACTCAAGGGCAGTCAACAATAACATTCATATGCAAGGGAGCTCTGGAGGCCATTATAGGCACTGTTCATTCAAAATAAAAGCACTCTCTCATTGGACAATGCAGAATTTTTCTTCCCATTTTACAGATGAAAAAATTAAGGCCAAATATTATTCAGAATTTAAGAACTCAAGAGTATACCTAGGTAAATAATACTTCTAATAACAAAAATAGCAAGATTAATAAAGATCATTATCATAGAGTTACTACCACATTTACCATATGGGCCAAACAGGTGTTTTGTCTACATTCAACCAAAAAACATACTCAGTTCCTACAAGACAGTTCTGATTCATAATACTCCTATAGGACTGGGGTTTCTGAGGCTGTAAATCTTTACTGAAACTGACTCTAAGCTTGAACCACTTTAGTTAATGCCTTCAGTGCTGATAGGGCTCCCTTGCCTGTATCAGCTTATGAAATCTTATGCAATTTTTATAACAGAATTTTGAAATGTTGCTATTTTTCTATTTAGTGGAGACCCAGAGAGATAGAATGACTTGTTCAAGGTCACAAAGCTATCAATAGAGGAAAAGAATTTTAATTTAGCCATCTTTTCACTCGAAACTCTGTAATCTTAGCCAAGGAACTGTAGTACTTAAAAAATTACTGAACTTACAGATTGTTGTCACATTCACCAAATTCACTGGCTAGATGCATTCCAAATAAATCAGTTCTAGGGTTCCGGTGCCCTTCCCCACTATTCTCCCAATCACTCTCATATGCTAATGAAGCAGAGAGCAACTCCAAAAACCCAATCTCTCTGAAACTCTGTCTCCTGCTGCTATTACATAAACATGACTGGCTTGTTGTGATAGACTCACAGAGAAATAATTTTTCTTGGCTGAAATATTGGGATTGTTGTCACTCCAATCATATGCTAGTTCCTCCTCCTCCTTCTCATTCAACCAGATCAACTCAGCTGTAGCTCTGGAGACAAATTTATGCAGGCTCTGAAGGTGCCTCATCCGGAAGCTGGAAGTTTCCTAGATAAAGCAAAGATTAAAATATTAAAATGTATCTGTATGTATCCATGCACCTGCAGAAGATAGGACAGTTGGTATAAAAACAAAGAATAACGAAGGAAATGAATTAGCCTTCTTACTGTTCTATTACGGAAATTAATTAATTCAAGTTTAATACAAAGCATCAGACTTAAAGAATGGTTTCTCAGAGCCATCTTCAATGCTAGCTGAAAAGGATCCTAGTCCTGTCCTATTCTGTAGTCTTGATAGATAGAAATAACAAACAGATATAAGAGGGATTCTCTCTCAATCACTCTCATACTTTTAGTGATGAGTGTCTCAAAGTACATCTAACCACTGCTTTGCTGAAGCAAAGTCGCAAGGAGATATGCTACTTAAGTACTTAACTATTTAGAAAAAGAGGGTTTTTTTAATCCATTAAGAAAACTTAGGAATGTTATAATATATATGAACAACTGCACTGTCAATAATATAACCTAATAAACAGAAAACCAAAACAGACTAAACTATGAGATTAAAAAAAAAAAAGATACTAGTTTATTTACAAAATTCAAATACATTATTTTCCAGAACAGATTCTTCCAACTTCCCTCATTCCCACCCCATCAAATTATACAATTCCATAATTAGTCCTCCCCTCCCCCTGCACAGCTTCATCCCTCTGCTTCTATCCCCCTTCCCAGATCTTTATACCCATACTACAATAATGGTTTTACACAATATTTGTGCTTCTGGGACTTAGTTAACTCAGCATAATGCTCTTCAATCCCTCCCAAGTTAGGTAATAATATATAAAATCAATGCTCCTGTGTGCTGTGTGAATGCACCATAATTTCTCAATCTTCAGGAAGAGGGGCTATTGGAGGAAATAAAATCTTCCATGAACAGAACTTAAGAGATACAGTCAAAACTCACCTTTAACTTACAATACTGGGTTTCCAGCTTCCCAAGAGTTTCAACATAGCTGGTATGGAAATTTTGAGACATTTTGTTCTGATAAGAAAGAAAGAAATGAAAACCCATTTAAGAAAGAGTTATGGTTTCAATGACATAAATATTATTTATTTACATAGACAAGCAGTACACAAAAAATCCTAGACAACAAAATCCTGAGTCGGGCTTATAGTATACAGCAGCAATAAGGGAACAACACTTCAGCAGGGTGAGCACAAATGATAAGACTTTGCCATCTTAAACTTCCAGCAATTCTGAGGGATTTCTAAGCAGAACATATGAAGCAGAAGACCAACTGAGCAAATAAAGTCTATATTAGCTCTTCATTGTTGGCAGATGGTGAAATAGAAAAAACATGCTTTTTCTCCTCTTTTATTTTTCCTAGGCATGAGGCCTAAGTTTGGAAACATATCAATATTGACCTTAGAGACCAGTATTACTTTTCAGTAAATCGGGTTAATGAAATACTTTCTTTCCTTCTCCTTGGGGACACGTTCCCTGTGGTTTGAAACACCTCTCACCTCATACAGCCTGGCCTCTTTGACACTTGAGCCCAGTTCTTCTACGCTGGTGTGGATGTGCTGCTGAGTTTCCAGCTGCAGCTCCACACTAGGCAGGTCATTACCCCATTCTGCTCTCTCTAGTTTCATCTGAAAAAGAAAAATATTAATTCTTGAGTTGACAAGTAAAGATAATAATAAGAATCAATGCTTAGGCAAATGGCTTAGCTGAACATTGGGCAAAAGAACATCTCCATCTTCGCCATGATCCTAAGACCTCTTACAAGGAAACCTGTCACAGTCACTATCAAGAAGCTGAGGCAGACTTTGGATGCTGCATTATGAGAATGCAGTCCTGAATTTATTATCCAGGAAAGGGTCTTCATTGACCAAAAATTGCATTTCCCTTTTAGAGTCTCTTCTCCAGTTTCATAATTAAAACAGATATGAGAAATCACTAAAAAGACTTCATTTCATTCGTGGCCTCAATTATGTGTGTGTGTGTGTGTGTGTGTGTGTGTGTGTGTGTGTATAAACAATGACCCTTTCAATTGTGAAACATAGCAGCCTTGTTTAAAAGCTGAGACCACCATAAGAAAACTGAAGCAAAACTCACACTTCACAGTATCTATAAAAACTCACTCAAAATCGATAAAGGATATAGGCATTAAACCTAGAACTATAAAGAACATAAAGAAAAAATGGGTGCAAACTGAAGAGCCCTAATCTATAGCATAAATTGTTGTTGTTAGGTGTCATAAAGTTGACTACAACTCATAGTAACCCTATGGACAACAGATCTGCCCCAGGCCCTGTCCTCATGATCTCTGATATGCTCAAGCCCCTGTCACAGTCACTATGTCAAACTATCTTGCTGAAAGTAAACTATTAAATATAACCAAAAATGTAAAATTAAGAAAGGATAAGCTATTTGATTAGGACAGCCCCAAAATGAAATCCTTATGTGCATCAAAAGATTTCTCCACAAGCATAAAAAGGGATCAACAGATTGGGGGAAAAAATTTTATAATGACTTTCTGAAAAAAGGTTCAACTCTAAAATTTACAGAAAATCCTAACACCTCAACAAGAAAGAAATCAAACAATCCAATTACAAAGTAGGAAGAGAAAATGAAAAAACACTCTACCAAAGAAGGCATTCAGATGGCCAACAAGCATATGAAGAAATGCTCAAGTTCATTAGCTATTGTTTCTGTGTTGTTACATGCCATCGAGTTGCCTGTGACTCATAGCGACCCCTATTTACATTAGCTCTGAACCCATTAGTTATTAGAGAGATGTAAATAAAAATAAAACGGTATCATCATAATACGATATTATCTCATCTTGACAACCATTCCAAAGACAGCAAATGACAAATGCTGGTTAAGGTGTGGAACGATTGATTAAAACTCTTATACAATGCAGGTGGGACTGTAAAATGTTGCAATCCCTATGGAATGCAGTTTGACACTTCCTTAGAAAGTTGGGAATAGAAATACCAATTGATTCAACAATCCCACTACTAAGTACATATTCCAAAGAAGTAAACCTATGATATAAACTGGCACATGCACACCCAAGTTTAATGCAGCATTATTTACATAAGCAAAGACTTAGAAACAACCCAAGTATCCATGGACGAATGGCTCAAGAAACTAAATTGTATTCACAGAGTCAAGTATTGAGTATCACTGAAAAAAGGATCAAGAATTTGTGACATACTGCATAACATGGATGAATCTAGAACAAATTATGTTGAATCAGTCATAAAAGGACAATTATAGAATAAGATCACTATTATAAAAAGCTAAGAAATTGTTTACACACAATTATAGGGATGGTAAGGGAGGGGGAGGAGAGAGTGGAACAAAATTTAATAAAAAGATAATAGATAAGCCGAATTACAGGAAAGGTATTCTACTATAAGGGTCTGATTTATACTAAAAAACTCATTGCTGTTGAGTCATAACCAACTCATAGCTGACCCTCTAGTGGGCGTTCCACGGCTGTAAATAGCAAAGGAACAGATGATACATTATTCTCCCGTGGAGCTTCTGGTAGATTCAAACTACCAGAGAGGCAGTGCCTTTGGGTTAACAGAGCAACTTGCTACGGACCATGACACTAGAATGCCTTAAGGGGTTAATTCAGCATTACAATGAATTAATGCCATTAATCAATTATAATTATGTTATAAAACAAAATGTATGTGAGTGAATGAAAAACCAGTATGATTTATAAACATTCAACCAAAAAAAATTTAGAAAAGTTTAAATCAACTTAAAAAAAGGAGGGAAAGTAAAAAATAATCTCTTTTATCTGTGAATAAATTTAAAAAAGGATAACTGAAATTTACAGACTCTGTAATTGTCCCCACAAACTTTTGCTTAGGCATAGTCAGTAAAAGGGCTTTATGGTTAAAAATATCTATGCAAAAACAACTATGAGATATCATCTCACCCCAGTAACAGTAGCAAAATTGAACAGAACAGCAAGCAACAAATGCTGGCGAGGTTGTGGAGAAACTGGAACCTTTATTCACTGTTGGTGGGAGTATAAAATGGTGCAACTTCTGTGGAAGGCGGTATGGCGCTTTCTCAAAAAGTTGCAAATAGAGATACCATTTGACCCAGGAATTCCACCACTGGGAATATACCCCAAAGAGACCATAACTGACAGCCAAGCAGATATATGCACACCCATGTTTACTGTGGTTTTGTTCACAATAGCAAGGAGTTGGAAACAACCTAAGTGTCCATCAACAAATGAATGGGGAGAGAAGCTGTGGTATATTTACACAATGGAACAGTATGCTGAACTGAAAAACAAGGAACTCATGCAATATTATTCAAAATGGGTGACCCTGGAGGACATGCTGAGTGAAATATCTGTCACAAAAGACAAATAGTGCCACTGTTGTAAAACAGGAATGACATTGGGGTTGGGGGGAGACTAAGAAAGATGGGTTCAATAATGTATACTACACTGCATTGAAACAGATGAGGGAGAAAACGGTTTAAAAAAGGGATACATTATTAGGTATTTTTGTCATGATGGGAGTCCAGAGCGAAGGCTGCATAGTGGAGTGGCCCTGGGGGGAGGGATTGTAAAACAATGAAAGAATTTTTCTTTTACTTTTCCAAGAGGGTAGTGTACTAGGGGGGGAGGGTTGGGAGGGGAGGAAAGTGCAACAATGAATGAATGGAAATCCAAAGTCTCTGTAAATTTTCATTGAAATCAATAATAAATTAAAAATAAAAAAACCAATCCTATGCAATAGTGTGTAGAATTTTGAGAATCTCAGTTGACCTCATCTGCTTAAGATTTAAAGAAAACAGTGACTGGGTCTTCAGCAGCATCAATAATTAAGAGAATCAAAGCGCAAAGTAACAAGATCCTCTTACACCTAAGTTATTTGATTTAGTAAACATTTCAATATATACCCACCTGCATCTCCTCTACCCAAGACAGTAGTTCATAAACAAATCGGAGATTGCCTTCATCCTCAGAGGAGGAGATAGCCACAAGTTCAGTCCGAGTCATGGGTTTTCGGAACCAGGAGGTAGAGGAAGAATGGGTTCCTTTGGTTAAAGGTTCTGCCTTTAGATGAGTAGTGGTTAGAGCAGAGGGTGGAGCCAGCTCAAGTGTAGTGAAATGGCCTTTCCGGTACAGGTTTGTGCACTCTAGGCGCAAGGTGACCAATTCATCCTGTAAGCGCATGACCCTGAAATCAAAGAGAAAGAAGGAAAGGATTTAGATTTGTAACATACTTTTAAAAAAGAAAAACTTCCCTCTTCATTTTATAAGAGTGTGGTTTAAAAAAAAACCCCAAAATCCCAATAAGGTGAGATCATAGCAGGGAAGTGTTTTGAAGAGAGAAAGTAAAATATGGGGATCTTATTAATATCTTCATTTAGTCACATCTGAGGAAAATGCTAAATTATAGCGTTAACCAGAAGGAAGCAAATCAATATCCAATTCTATTACTTCTGGAGGGTATATAATAGAATAAACAATGGATCAGGAGTTAAAAGATTTGAGTCCTTCTTAGTGAGGGCCCTAAAAAGCCATGTGAGAAAACTGCTGATCCTTCTTCTGTGACGACACTGGTAGATTCAAACCATCAGAGAAGTCTCACGTTTGGGTTAGCAGCTTAACTCCCTACAGACTAGCCCACCCACTATTCCTGTTCTTTTGATGCCCTGAGCACATGCTTGTCTTGCTTATTGGGTAATATGCTCCTGGTTCTAGTGTACAAACTAACTGTGTGTGGCTTTAAACACTCCTCATCTCCTCTGTTGGTCTTGGTTTCCTCCTCTATAAAGTAAGTACACCAGATCACCAGTGCTTGTAGAACAGATGTGGTAACACATTCTGTAATTAACTCTGAAATGCAGGGTATTTTAAGATGCCTCAATGAATGGACAGTGTTTGGTGGAGCTCCCAGATTAAGACAGTCTTGGAAAACAGAAGTAGCATGCACTTCCTAAACCACATGCCTATGAAAACTCTATGAACTTAGAGAAATGACGCTAGTTATAGAACAGGGTAAAGACTTTAGTTCATGGAGTTGAATGAGTTGTGCTCAACTTGACAGCACTTAACAAGAACAAGAAAAGAACAAGAACAACATGAATGAGGAATCTTACAAGTATTTAGCTGTCAGAGGACTTCAATAATGAGAAACTATTCTTTACAACCAGAATTTTCTCGTATAAAGCATATGTAGTAGCCCCACTGAGTCAGGTGAGACTAAATGACCTTCAAGGTCCTCTAAGTCAGTGCCTGACTTCTAATTCACTTTTTTTATTTTTTAAAAAAATAATTATATTCGTTTGCATACAAAATTTGTATTCACTGTGTTCCACACATTCCTTCATTCACTTCCTTCATTTTGTCATAAGATCACTCATATATATTGTGTTTTATAAAATTATTTATCATTTGTCCATCAATAAATGAATGGATTGAGAAACTATGGCACGTTCATACAATGTAATACTATACAGCACTAAAGAGCAATGATTTTGTAAAGTACTCCATCTGAAATACTTTGGGTACTTTGCAAGGAGGGACCAGTCTTTGGAGAGGGACATTATGCTTCGGAGGGTGGAGGGACAACACAAGAGAGGAAGACCCTTGATGAAATGGGTTGATTCAGGGACTGAGGTAATGGGAGTAGGTGTGTCAGAGACAATAAGGTTGGCTCAGGATAGAGCAGGGTTCAGAGCTGTTGTACATAAGGTCACTATGAATCGCAGGCGACTTGACAGCACATAACAAAAACAGCTATATAACACGGAATAATTTAGAGAGCATTTTACTGAGTGAACTGAGTCTAATAAGGACAAATACCACATTAAGATATTATTGTGAAAATAGAAGGATAACTAGTAATATGTGTATGAAAGTCCTAATTCACTTTTGATACACAGCCTCAGCTGAAAGCAAACCAACAACCCATTCTGAGTTCCCTGGTCCTCACCTAAAAGCTAGCTCTTCTAGTTGGTAGTAATTCTCATCTCGAAGTATCTGGAGATCCACCTGCAACTGCCTGATGAGACCTTCACATTCCTGGATGTACATGATGACATCAGACTCACATTGTACTGGTTGGCCCGACTCCAGGTGAGCTGCATCCTGAGAAAGAAAGGGAGAATAAGGGTGGAGAAACTCTCATGGCTCCCACCTACTAGGGCTTGGAGAGTCAAGTAGTTTACTGCAATTCCAAGAAATAAGGACATAACACAGTTGGATTCCTTAACTGTTACCTTCACCTATTAGAGCAGAGGGTGAGATGTGGAAAGCGTGTGATATAAGAAGTGAGAAAAAAGAAGTCAGAGACTCACAGCCTGCAGTGTATTCTTAGCTAGTGTCAGTTTTTCTTCACAGTTCAAAGCACCATTCTGGATTTTGTTTGCAATCTGTAGCAGTAGTTCCAGCCTAAAAGTAGGGAGAAGTCATTTAAGATCAGGGCTCAGAAAAACCCAGTAAGTAAATGTCAGATCACCCCAAGGCTCTGGACCCACCTCTCCACAGCTGGTCGAAGTGATTTCTCTCGCTCCAGCATTTCAATGATGAGTTTTCCCCACTCCTCTTCCACATCATTAGGGTGGTAACCCTGAGGCAGTTTAATTCGGCCAAATTCAATCCATACCTAAAAGCGTCAGAAATACTCTTTGAGTAGCTATACCCACATCCCCCAGCTTTTATTTACTCCTTATATGTTATGTTGCTTCTTGCTTACTTATTTCTTTTTCAACAGATCCTTTAAAAATGCACATGGGCTGATACTGCCCATTTGCTCCAAATTTTGAAGGCCAGTCCAAGAATTTGGATACTAGGGTTTGTTGGGAAGAGGAAACTCAAGAAAGTAAGAAGGGTGCAAAGCAGCAAACCCAAAGTCTTAGTAAAGAATATGTTTCCTTACCTCTAGTAATTTGTATAATTCCTCAATTCTTCCTTTTTCTCTCTCCTTGGCTAAAATTTCTGTTTCTTTGAAGTGTATATATTGGTTATAAAGTGCCTGTAAAATTAATATTGGTGAATGACTGAATAATCTCTCTCAAAAAGCAAGCAGCAACAAGATGTGATGCTTACTCTGTAACATCAATTTATAAAAGCACTTAAGCCCCATGACTTTACCTTTAATTCAACAGGGTTCTGGGGGAAAGATTTATCTGCCATCAATATTGTGTGCTGTTTGATCCAGGGGATGAGGGAATCCACCCGGCTTTGGTATTCTTGCCACCTTGAGTCCACTTCCTATTGTCAGAGTCAAGCATAACATATTCTCTCATTAGTGATATCCAAACTAGTAGAGGAGAACTGAGACCACTCCAAACCACATACAATCCTTTCCTCTAATTATTTAAAGAGTTGCTCAATTTTGCACTCAGAGTCCCAGTTTCAAAGCACCCCAGAGGATCTCTTAGTACAGGATTCAATTTTCCAATCTTAGAAATGCTACAAACCAAGCTACTAAATATATACAGAAAAGACCTATGATATATATAATCAAACTAAAATTAGAGGCTGAGAAATACCACTGCCTCAGCTTGAATTATAGCTAGGGTGAGTAAGGACATTCATTTAGTATTTTTGGGATATATGGTACAAAAGGCACATAGTTTGAATCCCCCAGCTGTCCACAGGAGATGGATGGGCAATCTCTGCCTCTGAATACCCACTGAAGAGTCAGTATGAGCCAATTCCAACTTAACATAATAACATAACTAACATAACATAACATAACATAACATAACATAACATAACATAACATAACATAACACAGCTTTCAGAAACCAAGCACAATGTTTATGCATTATAAAGATGATGTGGACACAGCTTGCTCAGTATAAAGGGACTTGGTACACAAAGAGAAGGCACCCTTGGTGGTCCAATGGTTAAGCATTAGGCTACGAATCACAATATTTACTTTTAAAGCCACCAAAACCTCATGGCAGAGAAGAGCTGGGGAGATCTGCTCCAGTAAAGGTAACAGACATAATGGGGCAATTATACTCTGTCCTAAACCCACTGGAGGGTCAGCTATAAGATGGCTCTGATTCAAGAGAATGTAACAACATGAACTGAAATAGGCTTGAGGGTACACAACAACCACCACCACCAATGTGTGCTTAAGTAACACTACCTAAGCAACCCAAACAAATCAACCTTAGAGAATATTTTAGGAAGAGTTTTTTTTACCGTAGCACTGATCCCTTCTCCACCCTCAGGGACTTTAGGGAAGGCATCATAAATTGAAGACACGTAAGTGATAACGGACTTTTCATCTGGAGATGGCACATCCACATCTGAAAAAGAAAGGACAAGAATTGTTTTAGTCAGAGCAAAGGAACCTGCAGGGAAATGTAAGCATGAATATGCCCCACATTTCATGAACTCTTTCTCACCTTCTGCATCCAGTAACCGAGTAACTCCCAGTCTTTCTGCAACTTCAAAGGCCTGCTCCAGATTCTCTCGGTTACTTTGGATTTGTACTCTTTCCATGTCTACCAGGTCAGGTCTGCAAAAGTTCACCAATGCATATGAAAGGTTTCCAACCACATAACAAATAGGAGTTCATACCAAGAAAAAACACTGAGTTAAGAGAAAAGAGTAGGAGGTTTAGAAGGGTGCTAAGTTAATTTCTAATGATACACGAGCAGTCCCGAGTTCCCTCACATACAATAGATATGTTAGATTTCATAGGAAAGGTACCATAAACCAGTGCAGAGTGAAAACTAGAGTGTGTTTACGACCATTAAGAGCTCAATTTTTCATGTCTGCCATTCAAAACTCCGATGTTTTCCTGGCCGACCCATCTTCCTTCTAGTCATCTGTGTTTCTCAACTCCTCTGAACAAGCTCCTGCTTCAGGTCCTTCCTGCTTGTAACTTTCTCCAACCAGAACACTGAAACCAGAGGTGTACATGGCTCCCTCTCTGCTGACTCTGCCCAAGCATCTTCATCAGAGAAATGACCACTCTATCTAAAGTCCCATCTCTCTACTCCTCTACTGCATGCACCACTGAGTGGCAGCATTTACTTGTTCACTGTCTGTTCTCTCCACTGTACAGTAGGCTCCATAAGAGCAAGACCTTTTACTATTTTGTTCACTGCTAATTATGTCTCCAAGGCCTAGAATAGCAGGGACTCAACAATTATGCCTTTTCAGAATTTTGACTGGTAGTTGAGGGAATCATTACAAGCAATTACAAGTAAGAGATGAGAAGTTCCTCTGTTATATACTTTACTGTATTTACCTGTATCTGTGAATAAGTGCATTAAACATTTTCCCATCACTCCAGCAGGAGGAAAAGTTGGTGCATTTGATTCCTGTGTAACCAGCTGTCACCTTCTGGGTCCAAAGGAGCAATTTCTCCTTGGCTGACATGTCTCCTGACTCTCCACTAATGTAGATGTCAGAGATCTGCCAAGAGGAAGGACACAGAGTAATTTAGCATAAATAAACTTTTAATTTTGTCTTTTCTCTTAGAAAAAGAGACAAATAAGTCTGGCAGTGCTTTAGATGACAACCCTTACATACTATGGTTCAAATCATAATTTTTTTTTTCTTTAAAGAAAGTTTATAGAGACTTTGGATTTCCATTCATACTTTTCTCCTTGCCCACCCCTCCCCCCTAGTTCACTCTTCTCTTTGAAAAGTAAAAGAAAAAAACTCTTTCATTGTTATTCAATCCCTCCCCCCTCAAGTCCACTCCACTATGCAGCCTTCGTTCTAGACTCGTCATGAGATTAATACCTAATCATATGTCCCTTTTAAACAGTTCTCTCCCTCGTCTGTTTCAAATGCAGTATACATTATTTATCCCCTCTTTCTCAGTCTCCCCCAATCCTTATGTCAGTCCTCTTTTATAACAATGGCATTATGCCATATTTGTCTTTTTGTGACTGAGATATTTCACTCAGCATAATCCAGTGAGAATTAATAATTTTCCAAATGATACTACTTAGGATGTTGTTGTGTGCTATTAAGTTTGAATTGACTCGGAGCTGACTCTCCATAAGGTTTTCAGAGGATGTAAATCACATAGGAGGAATCTGCCCAACTTTTTCTCACAGAGAAACTGATGGATTTGAACCACATGACTTTAGGGTGACAGTGCAATTCCCTACCATCAGACTACCAGAGCTAAGGAGAGTACTATTCTTAGTTGCCACCAAGTCAATTCTAACTCATAGTGACTTCACTTATGCAGAAAATCGTGCTTCAGAGAGTTTTCAAGGCAATGACCTTCCAGAAGTGTAACGTCACATGCCTGTCTTCTGAAGTGCCTCTGGTGGGTATGAACTACCAACCTTTTGGCTAGCAGTCATACATTTAACCATCTGTACCACCCAGGGTCTCCTAGGGAGAGTACTGGATATCTTAATATACTGTAATTAATGAAAGTATAAATTACACTTGTTTAGGCAACAGTTTTTAATCAGAAGTCTTAATTTGTACAAATAAATGTTTATCAAAGCATAAGGTAAAGTTTTGAAATGAAGGATCAGCTGTAAAACACTGTACATAAAAGAATTCTTTCTGGCACTTAAAAATTAAGCAATAGGGAAAGATTACCAGATTTTACAAAAATGAAATAAATATAACAATTCTGTTTTTATATAAAAGATATACAAACTACAGCTCTACATATATGATCCCTATATGTGTAAATATGGACGAGAAAGGCACCAAATTAGTAACTAGAATTAACTCTAAGTGGTATGCTATTAGAAGTATTATATATACTTTCCAAATATTCTACATCATGTGCACTTTCCATAATAAGAAACAAGTTATTTTAAGAAATCACCAAGATCTAGCACAGGACCTACTTTAGGCGGTGTGCAAGACAAGAAAATGCATGCCTTTCATTTTACACTCACTTATCACATCAATAAAGTAGAGATTATACCAAATGCCTTTTCAAGATTACTGTGTTAATTCAGTGGTGCTCTGGTGGCTCTGAGGTTATAGTATCCAGCTGCTTGCTAATGAAAAGTTCAGAGGTTTGAACTCACCAGTCCAAGAGAGAAAGATGGTACTGGGACAGTTCTATTCTGTCCTACAGGGTTCTGCATGAGTTGGAATCTACTCAATGGGAATATGTTTCATTTGGTGTAGTTTTTCTTCATAATTATACCAAGACATCTTTTAAAATATATAACTCAAGCACAGTTATGTTCAACAGAGTTCCCTCCTGATGTCCTTGCATAGGTGATGGTATTTCTCACCTAACTCACAGCACTGACAATTTATATTACCCTTAAGTATTATCATGTACTAACAGCAACTATTTCATACATTACTCTTATCTCTCTGAGACTACAGCTTCCTGAGGAGCTTGCAGTGCATCTTAACAGTCAGAATGATCAGCAAATGAATAGCAGCCCTTCATGAAGGAAAACACCTCACCGCTGGATGTGTTCAAGCAGAAGCTGGATGCTGTGAGGAAATAACCTCCAACTCCCAACTTTAATATTCATTTAATTTGCAAATAAAAATAATGAAAAATCTTTTGTGTATGAAGCCCACTTCAGCGATGCAATGGTAAAGAACATGGTTGTAATGGCAAGGTCTGCTGACTGAACCCACCAGACACACCACAGGCGGAGATGTGGTGGTCGGCTTGTGACGATTACAGCCTCGGAAAGCATCAGAGGCAGTTCTACTCTGTCCTGTAGGGTCAGTATGAATCTCAATCAACTCGACTTCACACAACAGGCTGCTTGTACGACAGCAAACTTATTTAGCAAATTCAAGGCACTATGTAAAGTAAAATAAGTTTAAGAAAATGTTAACAATAAGAAGTTAGCAGGTAACAGCAGGTTACGGTCTGTAGGATGCTGTGCTGCTTAGCGAAATGCTGTGAATCTCTGGCAGTTTAGGATCCACCAGTAGCTCTGAGACAGAAACATGAGCTGTGACTTCCCATTAAAGTTTACAGTCTTGGAAACCCAAGGTCACTAGGAGTCAGAACCGCCGTGGAGGCACTGAGTGAGTGAATGAATGAATGTGAACAATGGCTGCCTATCCTGGTTATTTTGTTTATTTCCACTTTGCCTTTTTTCCCCCTTCAGACATTAAATAACAGATACATATTACTTTTAAAAGGGAAAGTAAAAAATAATCTTTATTATAGAGTTTGAAAGGAAGTATTTACTAGGAATGCAACCACATGCAAGTTATGTAAGCCTCTTGCTAACCCACTTCCCTTGTATTTCAAATAGTTAATAATTTCAACACGGAGTTATTAAGAAACATGATATACGGAGAGTGCCTAGCACAGATTCTGACTGTGCTTCAGTAAAGGAAAGTAAGTATCTTATTCCCATAATAACAAAGCAGCGTATGCAGCACATTCTTCTAATTCAGGGATTTTGTGTGAGGAAGGCATGAGTCTATCAAGAGAACATCTGTCTCTTAGTAGTCTGCATCAGGTGCAGTACTGTGCGGTAGGTCAGGGGCAGAACTGGGGCAACAGTCATCACAATGATCGTGATGCCTGTTACAAAAGAACCAAGCAATAAGGAACCTTTGAATCTCTGAATGCTAAATCCACTAACTGAACTTACAACAGATGAAATGAGGCTAAAATCAGTAGAAAAGGGCCAGAAACTCTGATACTTAAACCCACTAAGTCAGTTCCAAATTATGATGATTCCATGGACGTCAAAGAAGAAATACAATCCATAGGGTTGTCCATGGCTCTAATCTGACAGAAGTACAATGCTAGGTCTTTCCTTCTCAGTCCCACTGACTGGATTCTAACTGGGTATAAAACATAGAAATCAACCAGAGACCTGGTTAATGCTTTATTAAGCATAAAAAAAGGCACAGGCTATTAAGTGTTATTAAAATATCTGAAAAAAATTATGAGAACAAGAGAGTATGAGTAGCTTGCATAAAGTCTAAAAGAGAGACACCAGTAAGTATTGCTTCCAGGTCCATGTAAGTGAAATGGTAATCTAGTCAGTAGATTTCACTTTCCCTTAATGTTTATTATTAATGCATATTGCTACCGTAGAAATCAGGCCATCAAATTCTGAAGGTGCCAACAAATAAAACCATCCTCCAAATCTATATTTCACTCATCATCTTTCTGTTCCAACTCCATGTTCATTTACCAGTCTGCAGATTTACTTCCCATATAAATATGCAAGAGCAAGAAAATGCACTAAGCAGTCAAATAAAATATAGTCATAATGCCTATTAATTGTTGTTTGCTGTTGAATTGGAGCTGACTCATAAGTGACCCACCAGGGGTTTTTCAATCACATGGAGAAGACTGTCCGTCTCTCTCCCTTGAAGCAGCTGTTGGATCCAAACAAGGGCTGGCAGTGCGACTCCTTACCACTAGGCCATCAGAGCTCCCTGCATATTAATAAGTAAATAAATTCACTTCAGCCTCATGCAAATATGATCAGTCCAAGTCAACTTCCCCAACACTAATCAATTCAAGTACATTTTTTTAAAAAAAAATGAGCTAAAGATCTGAAGAATTGAGGACCCAACAATGGGGCATAAATTTCACTCTAGCCAGCATCTTGTGAACTGAGTGTCAACAGGCCCTAACCAGTACCAGTCTATTCCAGTTCTCCTAAACATTTCTATCTGCCTATTCCAATGGTTAAATCGAATTTGCCACTGGCATACCCTAGAATTTTCACTGTAGTTCTTTACATACATGTCAAAGCAAAACACTGATGAAAACAAAAGATTTATGAAGGGAGAAAGGATAGAACCTGAAAAGAAAAAAAAAAATAGAGTATTTGGGTTCTTTACTAAAAGAAATCAATTTCCATTAATTAATTAATATTGTATGTCCAGTATAACCACTGTCAGTGTTTCTGATGACATTTCCTCTCTGCCAATCACAGTATCTCTGCATACTGAACTGAAAAGAACTCAATGAATAGTTTTACTTCAGATTTTCAGTACAGCTGAAATGAGACAGGGAAATGGTCAGATCCCTCAGGGAAAGAAAAAGACTGGATTAGGATCCCTTCCAGGACTGTGAACTGGATGAGAAAAATGGGATTATCATCACAATCACCTCAGTAATTAAATTTGGCTTTCTCCCATCTCTTCCTGTAATACTGACATATAATGTGCATAGTGCTGTCTTTGAGGCTGTACAGAAGCTTTTACCTTAATCTACTAAATGCAGAACCCAGCTTCAGTTTCAGGAAGCTTGTTCCCTTCAGCTGTGTTTTAAACAACAAAGCCTCTCATTCCAAACCTAAATGCTCTTTTAATCCACACTTTACAAGACTCATTAATTCCTTAGAAGCATTTTCAGAAACCTCTTTTCCAAATAATTCATTAATTTAGTATGTATTTATTGAATGTATCATTTGTCTATGCCAAGCACTACAATGAAGACTGAAAAAATTACATATATTTGTTTAGTCAATATTTTT